ACACTTGATTAGAGTAATCTTTTCCCCTCTGATTTCGGCTGTCATTGAACTTTAGGCGAGGCGGAAACGAAATCAAAGCTTATATTTAGTGAATAAAACTCGGCTAATTGCCTGGGAGCCGACATTTGCGGGCTGTCTGTCTCATTAATCACGGGTCGGATGCATATTTCTGCTTCTGCTTCGGCTTCTTAATTAATTTGATTAGCATTAATCGTTTGAATGCGAATTATGAATCAATTTATGGCACAGCTTTGCCAGCTCTCTCTCGCTGCTCACTCTCTATTTCCCCGCTCGCGGAAGCGGTTTTGCCAAAACAAGTTCGTTGCCTAAGTCTTTCGATTCACTCGGCTCTCGCTCCCTCCTTTACCCCTTGCGAAACAAGCCGCAGCCTCCTCCGCCGAGTCTTAATCATTTTGACAAGTCTCTCCCCTCATTTGCATAATTTTGAATAACGTTTAATGCCCGAGACACGCCCCTTTCCCCATAAAGATTGCCGCTTGAAGTCGGACAGAGCGTGGGTCTATCACCGATCGACGATTATTGATCGAACGGATCATGAATATGCGGAATGCCGCTATTAATTGGACAGCTCACAAGATGGTTAGCTTCTTGAATATGACATTGAATGTGGGCCACGCTTGGCTGCGTTTCAAATGTTTAATTACTAAACTATAGACTATGAGATACACAGAGGAAATTCATTAGAAGCCAATGGTTTTGTTTAAAAATATAACTGAAATATAAAGGAAAAAATAAAATTTCTTCATTAAAGTAATTATAAGCCACCTATTAAAACCCCTCAATGAAACCTTAATGTTTAAATGTGGTTAGTGCTTAAAACTTACCAAATTCAAATGAATCAACTGCATTAAATTCTTCCTTTATTAGAAATATTCATTAAGAATATCTTAATTTAGGTGTCATAGAAACCTCTTGGTTATTGATATTAAGATCTGGAACACTGTCAAGGAGTCATTTCCGAGGGTTTCATTTATAAGGGGTTACATCGTTAAAATTTTCAAAAAATGACAAAAATTTGCATTTTTAAAACATTAAATTAAGTATGCAGATTTATTAACCTTCTCAAAACTAACATAAAAATTAATTCAAAGAATGCGAATATTTCCGATTCGATCCTACAAATCAACTGGAAACTGCAAGTGTATATTAACTTTGGCTACCCTGTTTTCTTGTTTTTTATATCACAAACTTTCCTGTTAATTATTAGTTTTGAAAGAAACTTTCTTTGATTGATTTACTTAGTTAACCGATCTTGGCCGAGGTGATCTCACCTAAGACCACTCAGCTCCCATGTAAATGCCTGAAAATTCAATTAATAACTCACTATGACCGGGTGAACCCCCTGGAAAGAGGAGGAGGTCGACCTACAGCAAAGCCCATGCCCAGTCATGCTCGGCTTGTTTGGCTTGCCTTGGAGCTGTCCCACCGCTCCGGCGGATCCCAAAAGTCAGCTCTCATGGAGCTCTCACCACGTCAGCGGGACGGACAAATGTTTGCACAACACACGATAATGATGACAAGCCAAATTAGCTACTAATTTTCACAGACACAAGAGCAGACGCGGACGCGGACGCAGACGTGGACACATGGAATGAGGGTCAGATCGGAGCGCCAGGACCTCACACAGCTGACGTTCGTTAATGTCTGGCACCGGAAGTCATGGCCGAGGGCGAGGGTGCAGGCGAGGAGCCTGATGCTGATCCAAAGAGTTGCCCTGGAAATTGCCATAAATCAGCATTTGATTATCCTTTGTCCCGCCTAATTTTACCTCTCGACTAATTTTCTGCTCCCTCGGCTGCTCCACCTCATCTTCATCCTCTTCCACTCCCGCTGCATTGTCATGTGCGTGTTGGTTTGTTTTTAATTTATTAATTACTAGGCGGTTCCGCCGGCACTGCCGAGTCGGATCTCGGATCTTGTTTGGCCCAGGGCTTCCGTTATTAGCGAAATCTTCTCATCTGCTTTCTGGGTGATCCGCCTTGTCAGCGATGTTGGCGATGTTAGCCATGGTAACGGTTGTGAAGAAAAAGTCCAGTAGAATGCCAGATTCTGACTGGTTTTTAACCCATTAAAACTGAGGTTAAAGATGTTATTTTTTAGGAAATGTTGGAAATTAAATCAAATACTAATTTTAAAGGGTTTTGATGCAAGCTTCTGAGAGTGTTTTAAATGTTTTTAGTGTTTAAATCTAAACATATTTATATAAATCAATCAGATTAAATGAATTTCTTCCTGCTTTATAAGCAATATTCTTAGGAATACTTTAATTTAGGTGCCACAGAAACCTTTTAATCATGGAGTTCATTTCATCCTTTCAAGGTGTGGAAGGTAGTGATGGAGGCATTTCCGACCCTATAAATCATATATATTCATGATCAGCATCCGAATCGATCTAGCCATTTTTTAATTTTAATTTTTTTTCAAAAATAGATAAGGAGTTACATCGTTATAATCTTCAAAAACTGAAAATAAATTGAATTCTTTTACATTTTAAATTAAGTATGCAGATTTTTTAACCTATAAAAAACTAACAAAGAAAAGCTTTCTAATTTGAATTTAATGCATTTTTGAAAAAGTTATGAACTATTTTCACTGCAAGGTTATAGAAATTTCGGAATTCCGAAATTAGCTTCTTTTTGTAGTATTCTAATTTCAGTCAGGAGTTAAAATACAATGAAGGAGTAGTTTCCGACCCTTTAACGTATATATATTATAGATCAACATTAAGAGCCGAGTCAATCTGGTTTGTCCGGCAAAAATCAATTTTTCTTTTAATTTAATTTTTGAATTAAGTGTGCAGATTTATTAATCTATTAAAAACTGACATGCGAAGCTTTCCGAAATCAAATTAATGCATTTTGGCTTAGTTATACACTTTTTAAGATTTGATTTTTACGAACAATTAATTGGGACCTCGATACAAACTTCTGCTTTCTGAAGATAGTTTTTTTTTCGTTTATTAGATTTAAATAGAATCAATATGTTACTTATTTTTCGAGTAATTTAAAGTTTTATGCATTATAAACGTGATATATGAATTTATTTCTTATTTCATATAAACATAGGAAAATGGTTTTTATTATTATTGATACAGAAACTGTGATTCATATTCTCATCAGTAGCTTCCTGTTCCTGCTAAGCATCAAATATAGAACTCCATCGCTTAACAACTAACAAAGTAAACATTTAAACTTGAAAACGCAACTTTCTTCTGCTTCTGCTTAAGTAAATACCTAAATTATAGGCTTGGGTTAAGGCAATATCTCAGCATAGAACAAGACTAAATCAAATGTCCCTCCGCTTGAGATACCTCCTCTCCCTCGCCGGCAAAGACGCCTCCACTAAACAGCGGCTGTCAGGCGTTCCAGACAACTGCCACTTGGCTACCCCAAAAAGCCGAGGACCGAGATCACTCGGCGCAGAGCTCCATGATCACCTCGGGTGGTCGGAGGACGTCACTCAAATTGAAGTCCGGCAAATGAGAATTGCCCGGACTGAGGCGAGAGGGGAGCATGCACTGGCCAATCTCCATCAGCTCCATCTGGGCGCTGGAGTTGCTGGATTTTTAATTAAGCGTGGCCTGCGCCCGAGGCTTTTCGTCAAGTAGCTCTCCACTCTCAACGGGGAAGTGCGCGTAGCTCACGGCTCGGATGTGGAACAGGTCTTGTTAGTAATTTTTAATTTGAGCTCTTCTGACAGCCAGCTGTCATATAAATTTAATTGAATTTACATTTTTATTAATTGCCAAGCCAGCTCGGGAGTGCTGCTACCCGTGGCCTGAGCCAGGCATGAATGGGAGATGAGCTGGCTGACTTACTGACTGACTGGCCACTCATCAGCACAGCTCCAGCTCCAGCTCCAGCTCCAGCTTCAGCTTCGGTCCGGCTCCCTCCTCCATCTGGGGTTCGCTCTGTGAATGAATTTAATTTGAGATGATTTGTTGATGGTTTCGTTGCGGTGATTTCTTGCTGACTAATTTAATGTGATTTTTAAATTGCCAGCAGACGAGGCTGGCCAAGGCTGAGTGTGTGGCCTGTAAGGCGGGAGGAAGGGGTCTCTCTCTCTCCTCGGGAGATTGATTGGGCTCTGGACCCGGTACTCTGAGCTCCGGAGGCGGGGGCGCATTTTTACGGAATTAATGAGATGACACGCCTCTCGCTGGGAGATAGAATGGCGGCCTGGGAGATTCCCCCTCGCGATCATTACGAACTAATCTAATTTGCAAGCCCCGCGATGACAATCGAAGCTGGAACAGCCCCCCGCTTCCATCGATCCTTGACTTGGATACCTCTTTTTTTCTGGCTGTTCTGCCTCCGCCCTGTCCAGCGCTAACGAGTCGTTCTTTTCTTGCTCTCCTTTCGCGAGACCCTTTCGGTTTAATTCGCAAATCAAACAACCGCAGGGCAGAGCTCGGCAATTCGCGCATAAGTAAATTAAAAATAAATTTATGTGCGCGGCCAGAAACGGGTTCGCGAATGCAAATCCAATTAAAATTCACCAAGGAAGTATGAAAGGAGTAGAAGGGGAGAGCGGGGATCGCATCCTGCGACTGGCGCTAAGCCGTAAAACGAAGCTGTGCGCTGATTTAAAACACTGCGGGGCGTGCTTATTGATTAAATACAAATTGCATTCATTCATCATCAGCTTTTACGCGGTTGGTTAGAGGATATTGGTGTTTCTCTTATTGTTGCGGCTATTGCTGGCAATTAAATTACAATTTGTGGCGGATGCTCTGCAGGTAATTTGCTTGTTTAAGCATATGGAAGGAAAATAAGTTTTGAAAATGAGCGCGGACTGGAATGGTTGAAGTCTCCGCTCTGGCAGTGTGACCAGTATCTGTAGAGTAACTAAACGCTCTGATGCGACCTGCCCACATAACACGGTCACACCCCTATCAGCTGCTTATTTATCTTTTCTTTTTTTATTAGTTGCATTGTTATTGTGTTTCCACTGATTGCAGTTTATTTTTTACGTTGTAGCGTACATAACTAAAATGCAGACCGAGCTGGGCACCTTTTACAGATTATAAAACTGACTAAAACTGTGAAAAACAACTGTTTTTGAATGAGCTAAGCGTTTGAAGGTGGTTTCACAACTCTGGAGGAAAGCAAATGCCAGGAAGTAGTGACACACAGCGGCTGATGGCCGCGGATGAGGATGACCAAGTCCTGGGCTCAGGGGGCAGTTTTGTGCCAGCCTTCCGGCCGCAGGAGCAACAGGAGTACGATGAGAGATGTCTCCTAGAACGACCCGAGGATGAGGTGGTGCTGGTCTCCAACGAGCCCACCCGCGGACGACTGTTCACCTACATTGTGTTCTACCTGCTGGGCATTGGAACGATGACGCCCTGGAATTTCTTTGTGACAGCAGAAGATGTAAGTAGTGACTACCCGGGGCACAAATTAGTTTTCATGAATGAGTGGAAATTTTCCAGCCCGCATCTGAACTTCGCACATCCCAGCGCAAGTGGGCCAAGCGTAACTCTAAGGCGCTGCTTATCAGCTTTGGCATTGTTTTTGTTTTTGTTTGTTATTTTTACGACTTTAACGACGATAACTCTTTGCATTTTCTTTGTGTGTTTGCTGACTCAAGCCTAACCCTTCCTCACTCTCTCTCACTCTACCAATTCTAGTACTGGAAATACAAGTTCCGCAATACCTCAATCAATGGCACGGATCCGGACGAAGAGCTCACCCCACTGCAGCGGAGCTTCACCTGCGATTTGGCCCTCACGGCCACCATTTCGGGCACAACCTTCCTGCTGCTGAATGCCGTCTACGGACATCATGTCTCGCTGCGCCAAAAAATGGTGGGCACTTTATGGATGATCCTCATTCTGTTTGGACTTACCACGGGCTTTGTGGAGGTCAATACGGACAAGTGGCAGGAGCAGTTCTTCCTAATCACACTCATCATTGTGGTGCTGCTTAACAGTGAGTTGCTTTAGATATTAATCTTTAATATTGGTTACTAATTCTTATTTTAAACCTCAGTTTCTGCGGCTACCATGTCGGGCGCTCTGTATGGCGTCGCTGGCCTCTTTCCCTCCGAGTTCATGACGGCCGTGGTCAGCGGTCAGGCTCTGGGCGGCATACTGACAGCATTGGCTTTTATCCTGGTGCTGGCCTTTGACACGGGCCCCAATACCACGGCCTTTATTTTCTTCATCGTGGGCGGAGGACTCATCCTGCTCTGCCTGGTCTGCTATGAGATCCTGGCGCATCAGCCGTTCTTCAAGTATTACCTGGAGGGCGGCGATAAGTATAAGGTAATCAGAGCAGTACCCGGGCACACTCGAAACGATGAAGGAGATGGGGAAGTAGTCCTGGAACCAATAATGCGTCAGGTGATGTCCAAGATCTATGTGCATGTGATATGCCTGGCGCTGCTGTACGCCACCACGCTATCGGTGTATCCGGCAGTTACAGTTCTAATGCAGTCGGAGTACGGGCACAGCGAGTGGACAGGTGAGTTGCACATCTTTCTTACCTAATCTAAATTTAAACCAAATTCTCCCAAAGATGTATACTACCTGCCCGTGGTCAACTATCTGTTCTTCAACTGCGGCGACTATTTTGGCCGCCTTTTTGCCGGCTGGCTGGAGCGACCCGTCAACCAAAACACCTCGCTTCTCCTTACCGTAGTGCGCATGGTGTTCGTGCCGTTCTTTCTGTGCTCCAATTCCAACGAGCACCGTTTTCTACCCGTTCTGGTGAAGCACGACTACTCCTTCATAGCCATGATCATAGTGTTTGCCTTATCCAATGGCTATCTCACCAACATTCTCCTCATAATGGCCCCCAAGAGCGTGAAGCAGCACGAAAAGCAGCTGGCTTCATCCATTATGGCTGCTGCCCTCAGCTGCGGAATGGCTGTGGGTTCTGTTCTCAGCCTGGTATTTGTTCAGATGCTGTGATGAGTCTCCCGATAGGTGCCTTAGGAAATTGTAGAATCTTTTAAGCTTTAAAAATTGTATGTTACCTGATCTTGCTTCCATATCGGTAGATTTAAGCCCCCTTAATTTCAATTTGCATTTGTTTTACGTCAAAATTTTGCCATTAACCCCGAGATTTTATATCCATTTTTTTATTACTCGTAACTAGATTTAAGTATGAAAGTTAAGAACGTTTTTAAAGCAATATGTAAAAGGCTGTACGATATTTCTTTGGTTTAACGTTTATTTTTTAGTTTTTTTTTCTGCGGATCACAACAACAATGTGGATTATTTTTATTTTTGTTTTCTTTCGATATTATTCTTTGAATTAACTAATGAACGTAATTGTAAACACCGACTGTTTTACTGCAATTGATTTTAAAATGTACATATTTGTAATTAACTTGTGTTTGTTTATCGCCCTGTAGTGATGGAAAATAAATCAAATAGAAACCATTAAAGTTAAAGCATACTTACAGCTGCATACTAAAAGTTTGTAGCATCTTTTAGGCTGCAGCTTTTACATCTGCTTGTAGCATCTTTTAGGCTGCAGCGTTAATATCTGCATACTGAAAATTTGTGGCATCTTTTAGGCTGCAGCTTTCGCCGCCTTGCTCATTGGAAAACAATTGCCTACTTTTGGGGGTTACGTACAATTATAGTTTGACAATCACTGGTCCAAGTGCGATTGCATTTTTACAGTTTGAGAAGCACTGGACCAAGTGCGGTTCAAATATTTAAAATTGGAGTTATTGGTCAGAGACAGCACCAAAATGGAGTTATTGTCCAGTGCTTGTCAAACTGTAAAAATGCAATCGCACTTGGACCAGTGCTTCTCAAACTGTAAAAACTACACCTTGCTTGAACCAGTGCTTCTCAAACTGTAAAAATGGAGTTATTTTCAACCAGCCTAAAAGTATGCCCTATTTATTATTTCTCTGAATGCTAAATCAGCCCAAAAGATGCAGCATAATATTAACAACTAATATAGAACTGCCTAAAAGTAGGCAATTTTGATAAATAAGGGAAACGCAGCTCAAATTACATTAAATTGAATAAATTAAATTAAATTAAATTGAACTCGTTTAGCGTTTGTTTCTCAAACGCCTACAAAACAATTTAAGTGCAAGGCTTATTATTTTAAAGTTGGAATATCCAGTTAAATTGGGTTTTAAGTTGCCTGTTTGTTTTCAGTAAAATTTGTATCTTAAATTCTTGCTAACATCAAAAGTTTCGGTTTATGGTAAACGCTTTATAAGTGTGCCTGGGCAATATATTATTGCAACAATGAGATTTCGGTTCCACAATATGTATGTTTATGCATGTAGATTTGTATATAACTCTAGGGTAAATCTAAACATTTATTTAACTAGTTGATGTTAATTAGGCAACAACAAATTCGTGAGTTGCTCTGCTCAAAATGTATCGTTCCCGCTTCTCTCCATATTTTATTGTTATTATTATTCATTCTTCTCTTTTCTTTTGTATTTTCCTTTGACTTGGGTTTTTTCTTGGTGTTTGACACCGATTTTTGCTTTTCAATTTTTAAATTTCATTTTCGTATAAGTTTAGGTTTTACGTTTTAAGTTTTTAGGGCTTCTGATGCTCACTTATCGTTAACTTAGCTTAGCGAAAATTCACACACGAACAACAAACACCGATTAAAGCCATTTCTTTGAAGTGGGACAGTGGGTATAATGGGGTATTTTCGGGGCGACATGCAAAAGAGTATTAAAGCAACTACGATGCGATAACAACAACGATTGGGATAGCGACAACATCGACAACAGCACACAGATACAGATACAGATACAGGATGCAGATGCAGAGATGCAGTTAGAGCTGATCGATCGAGTAATGCTTACATACGTACAACACCAAAACTATTTTCGAATTTCTGAGTTACTGAGCTGCTACTAGTTTTTTACGGCTGCTGCTTGCTGTATTTTTTTTTTATTGTATTTGGATAAGATACACAGAGATAGACACCGATTCGAGACAACGATTGAGGCAACGATAATAGACGATAGACACCCAATCGATATACACGATATACACACACATATACACTAAGTACAGTCATCGTAGCTTCTAGATATTGCTTTGGCGGCTATTATCGTATCCGATGCGGCCCCATCCTACTATGAAAACTACGACACATTACAACATCAATTTGGGAGGAGAGACAACACACTGAGACACTGAGAGCGAGATACGAGTCCCGTCCATGGACGTAGACTGGAGCTTGGAGTCTTGAGTCGATTCTCGAGTAAGAGTTATATGGGAAATTACAACATCTAAGGTGGTTCTGCCGTCCGGTGAAATGTACTTTCAACATCATTATCTTTTGATTATTCTCATAGTATTCTTCGTTAAGATTTACGTACGTACTCGCATGTAGGTTGTGTGTGGGCGGTTCTTGAATTTTGGCAGCTCTGCTTCTGGGCTCTGTTTCGTTCTCGGTTTCTTCTAGCTGCCTTCTCTTGGTTCTTGGTTCTTGGTTGGTGTTCTGTTTACCTAGGGGAGGGAGAGTGGTGTCTGGTCTACGATAAAGATTGAATATATACTCGTCTAGGCTGGCATATTTCAAATTGTTTGATTGTCATTGAGACAGGCGGTTGGGGTTAACAGTTTGTGAGGTATTGCTAGGAAGGTATAACTCAATATTGCATTGAAAATATTATACACCGGAAGGTATTACGTTTAAGGTTTAAATTGCAATATTAATGATACATATCTGAATATGTTTTTTAAGTTTCCCGTGTATTTTCGATACATTATTAATATTTTCTGCCATTCCTAGACAATGCTCAATTAAACTGTGAACCCCCGCCCTCACTAGTACTTTCTTTCTTTCTTTTTTTTTTTGGTTTCTTTGGACACTTTTCTTTTTGGTGTTGTAGGTTGTGTGCGACGTCGTCTGTGTGTGTGTGCGTTTGTTTGTGTTTGTGCGTGGCATACAGGTGCGGTAAAAAGATCGCAGGGGGAAAACAATTCGATAGACTTTTATTGGAGTTTCCGTAAGAACTAAATAAACGTAAGTAAGAGTAGTGACTATGAAAACAATCGAGAATAAATATAGCAACCAACCGAAAAATAATAATTGACTAAGTGTTGGCCTAGACTGCTTAGCATTCGCTTTAGAGATTCATTGTCGCACAGCTGCTGCAGCGTTTGCTTTGTGCGAGGAGAGCCTTAAACTAATCGTATAAATTAGATGTAAATTGTAAAATTTAAAAGAGTAATACACACAACCACAATTAGCATTAGATAAAGCGGAGCACTCGCTGGGAGCACCTCCCCGTTCGTATAGACAATAAATTATGTACTTAGATCTGCTGCTGCTTAATTAGACACTCAGAGTTTCAGCGAAGTTCGAATAGGAAGAAACCGTATGGTTTGTTGGGGCTTCACCATTATGTAGATATAGTTATATAGATATATATATATAGTACACCGATACTGCGAAGTACGTCAACAGTTTGACTACAAAGTACATCGTACATGCGAGAGAGTTACAACTAGTTTGTTCAGTTAGAAAACGCGATTCGCTTGGATTACACTTGGACCGAGGCCGAGGCCAAGGTCGAGGTCGAGGTCAGTTCCTGTCCAAAGAGGGGTGGAGGGCAGGGACTGCGCCTCGCTGCTTAAGATCTACGAAGACTTTCTCATTTCTATGTTTCTGCTTGCAAATACTGAAGACTAACAACTTGTAGAACCACAACTAATCCTAGGTTTTTGGGGGACCGAAGCCCCTTTACGTTTTCATCTCCGATCCTGCCGCAATGCTGTTATGCGACTTGGCTGGCGAGATGCCGGAGAGGCCTCCGGCAGCACCTGCCTCCAGATTCAGGGTGAGATTATTGGCCGCCGAGCCGGAGCCGGAGCCCGAGCAGCCATGGTGATGGGGTCCATGGAAGAGCACCAGGAAGCCACTGCTAGAGACACAGCTGCGCGACTCTGCGTCCTTGTCAAGGATTTGACGAGCCTGATTGGAGTGTTTATGTTGGAGCATAAAAGCTAAGGGGATATGTGAATAGAACTTACCTTGGAGCGATGATCCACCAGGGCATTGCGCACCGACTCATGCTGCTTGAGCAGCTCATCCGTCCGCCGTTCGAAGGTCTGCTTCAGACGCACTCGCTCCGCCACGCCTCGTTCCACCACAGAGCTGGCCACCTCGCGTTTCATTCTGTTAAAAAAAGCATACATTAACAAGATAGAAACAAAGGAAAGCTAATTTAAAAAACCGTAGTTTAATCATGGAAATCATCATAAATAAGTTAAAAATACATTAATTTCCATTCAGACAACTTGCTAGTTTTCATTAGATTTCTGCATACACAATTTTAAATTTAAGAAAATTTAAAGCAGTAAGTAACTCTGATCAGCAATTATCTGTGACCAGCAAGTAAGTATGATCAGTTACTGAACTTTTTAGAAAAAGAATTATAACGTTTACAGTTTGTAACATATTTTTATCGAATTTGATTCAAAGCTATCCTTTATTATTATTAAATATCGTTTTTCTTTATATAAAAATCGGAATAATATATAATATAACTGCCAGAGAACGGTTGTTAAATGTAGAGGATCAGCAAGTACCTTTCAACGGTAAGTACATAGCTGTGACCACATATTAACTATGACCAGTAAATATCTACGACCAGTAAGTAACTATGATCAGTAATTACCTATAAGCAGCAAGTAACTCTGAGCAGCAAGAATCTAAGCAAGTATCTATCTATGACTAGTTACTAACTTTGAACAATAATAAGCAATGACTTGCAACTTTTGTAACACAACGCATTTCTGAGATTTGGTCGGCAGAAGACACTTCGTTCCGGGATGTTTAAACCAGTTGGGAATTATATGCACAGATGTGCGAGATTTGTTTCAGAGCAAATTTTAGAGAAAGCAATAAAACTATTGTGTTATTCTTCTATATAATTTTACTAGTATTTAAGTCGGAGCATGGCGAATCGGTGGACTATATATCTACATATATATAGCTGCCATACGAACAATCGGAAAATTTTAAGAAAAAAAAATATAACTTTTCCAGTTTTCAAAAGATTTTTATGAAATTTTCGAAAACAATTTTATAAACCGGACATAGCTAGATAAACTCGATGCTGAACAAAAATATATATGATTTATAGGGTCGGAAATGACTCCTTCATTACGTTTTAAGCTTCTGACTGATTATACCCTGCATGGGTGCAAAAACATTATCATTGAGGATATTAATCAGAAGACTCACCTGACTAGCTCATCTCGATCCCGATGCACCGTGGCCAGATTCTTGACCTCGTTGCGTCGCGCCTCCTGCAGCTGGTGCATCACCTCGCCGGTGACCTTGTCGAGGGAGGCCTTCAGCTGCTTCACCTGCGCCGTCTGGGAGGCTTTGAGCACCTTGTCGGCGGCACTGTAGATGGCCTCATGATACTTCTCCTGCAGCTCCCGATACTGTGATGTGTACTCCCGACAGGCACTGCGCAAACGCGTCTCCTGGGTGCCTCCATCTTGGTTAGAGTTACTGCTTCCTCCAGCCAGATCCTCACCCGCGCCTGCACTCTCCTCGCTGCTGTCGCCCAGATCCAGGGGACAGGCGGGCACCTCCACACCGGGCTCACTGTTCGGAGAGAGGCAATTACTAATTTCAACGGTGTCGTCTGGCAATGCCACCTAGGAACCCACGCCCGAACACTTACAGACTCTTGTTGCTCAGCCGCTTCACCAGCTTGTTGGTGATGGCAAACTTGGGCTTCTTGCCCTCCAGGGGACTGGACTTCTGGCCAGCGATCTTGACCTTCTCCTTGTCGTGCTTCTTGCGCAGCGACTCCAGCTTCTTCTCCATCTCCAGCCGTTTTTCCTTGACACTCTTGTGCTCCAGTATCTTGTCCAGCGGCTCGGCCACCACCAGGTCCACATCGAACTGCGATGACTCTACCTGCCGTATGGAGGTGCTGACAGACTGGTCCAGAGAGTGCTGATGCTGGATGGAGGGAGCCACTATGGAGACGCAGTCCTGATCCCCTCGTCCGCCATCCGTGCGATCCATGGGCACACATTCCACACTCATCGCAGCGGCCGCCGAGATGCTGGCCCTGTGCTTGGGCGAGGTGGCTAGCGACTCCACCGGACGCAGCTCCTTCTTCTGGCCACCTACTTGGACGAAAACGACTGGAGGATCAGAGACAGAATCGAGCAAGGGGGGCAAGGGGATATAGGTTCAGGGCGGAGGTGCAGTTTGTGTGTCCGTCAACCGTTGGGTGTGGAGTGTTGAGTGGGAAAGAGTGTGGTTGTTGGTGGTGGATAGTGGGTGGTGGTGGTACGGGTTCAGGTTCGGGTTTGTGTTTGTGGTGTTGGTTTAACCAAAATCCATAAATCCAAAAGTATAACCGAAAGTATTACCAAAAAGAAAAGTAGAAAGAAAAGAAGGCAAATTAAAACTCCAAGTGGGATGAGAGAGAGTGGTGTTGCTGCTACGCCTACATCTGCATCTACTCACACGACTTGGAGAGGTCCTCGTCCGCATTGCCCACCGCATCGTCATCCGTCAACACGGACAGCTGGATGTCGCGTTTCTCCAGCTCGCTCTGGTACTTGATCGGATTGGCCAGGGCCTCGGCAAAGTTGGAGAGATCGTCGGGCACGTAGTCTTTGACCACCACGCACAGGAAGAGCGAGGCCAGGGCTATGGGCTGGCCTACCTCAGAGCGGAGATTCACATGGCGGTAGCCCGGGCAGAGACCAATTACGGGCAGCACGCGATGTCCAATCAGTTTGCCTCCCTCCTCGTAAGCCGCAATCCTTATGCTCGCCAACTCTGGGAGAACCACCTTCTTAAACACAAAGGGCTCTTCGTCGTAGACCGGATTCATGCCATTGTCACGCACCGTCTTGGTGCGGAACTTCTTGCGCACCGTATCAGCCGGCAGTCCGTACATGTCCACCTCCACGAAGGTGTTTACCCTTTTGTCCGTGAGAAACTGGCCGGAGAGAACCGTAATCGAAACCGTGCCCGCTATGATGCCATCCACAGTGCTCTCGGCGAAGGGATCCAGTCGCCGATCCGAGCGACGCATGAACTCCGGCTTGAGTAGGTAGCCGGAGCGGGCATTGTATTCGAAGATGCCCAGGTTGAGTTGCATGGCCAGGTCGAGGGTCTGGAAATTGAGGGCCACCAGCTGGCAGCCGGCGTTCCAGAACAGCTGCGGCATAAAGTTGGAGCTGTCGAAGCGAGTGCCCGCCGGATACACACGGGACAGTTGGTGCTTGTTGTAGTTCACAAACTCGATGGGTCGTTCCTTGAGCAGCGTTGTGGCCTGCTTCTCGTCGAATGAGGACATTTCATAGCAACGGTTTTTCTCTATGGAATATAGTAAAGGAATGACAATAGTAATGGATCTTCGTTAAGTGGATTAACCCATCAAACACTTACTCTCTGCATTCTCAAAGGAGCTAAAGTGTATGGGCTGAACGTAGTTGACCAAAGCGGAGATCTCTGCTCCGGCCTCCGTCTCCTTTTGGGCCTTCTCCGGCGGCGGTTCATTACCGCTGGGTGGATTGGGCGTGGTGTTGGGCAGGGATTCATCATCCGAGGAGCTATCCGAGTCGGATGATCCGGTGCTGTCCTTGGAGCTCTGGCGGATTTGCTATATCGAAAGGGAGAACAGTTAGTTAAGAAAATGGCTAATCCCTTGCTTTTGCATCTGCCTGAGGTCACCAGTTCCCGCAATATTGTGTATACGCAGTGGTGTCCCCAGGGCGGAACTATTAAATTGCATGTCATTGCGTTGCATTGCCCCTGGCCAAACCCCCCTCGGAAGGGTCAGTCCCCACATGAGAAATGGCAGATGGAATATGAGACCTATTATTATGTTGTATACTCGCATTCCCTGCAGAGGACCTACTCGCTCCCTCGCATCCTGCACGGGGGGAAATTTACGAGAATATCATCTCAAAATTGTATTAAGAAATATTATAAGTCTGTAAAAGGCTTTAAAGGGTTTGCAATGCTGTAATTAAAGTTTCTTTGCTATAAAAATGAATTTCTGATTTATTTCCATTTAAATTATGATTATAAAGCTTATTATATCGTTAGACTTTTCTCCACGTGCAGATAATGCGAATGCGAGGCAAGAATATGGCGCAGATTGTGTTTCCTCTCCCCATTTGAGGGAAACGGAAAGGGTTGAAAAGGGCCGAAAGGCGGAAGTACACAATGCATTGTTGGGCATTGCATAAAGTTTACGACACGACGACAACCAGGACATGGCGGTCTGCGGTCTCTGGTTTCCGCTCGCCTTTACCCTTTCTCCTTGCTGCATCCCAATGGAATCACGTCACTCCGGAATCGATTTATAAAAGCCCCACAATTCCGGCTGTCAGAGATAAAGTGCAGCTGGCCACTGGCAAGGACCAAGAGCAAGTCTCCCGGTGAGTCCCCAGCGTAAACTCAAAAATTGCATAGCATAACCATAACCAGTGCTCATCAAACTGTGGAGAGGCCTGCCTGACTTCCATTAGCAGCGATTTGCAAATGGCCAGCGCTTCCCAAGCGGTATTTATTATGCAACACAACCATTAAACCTAAACCTGAAACTAAACCCAAAGTAGGCATGTAAAAAATGCATAAATTATGGCGCTGCTGCACTAATGGCACGCTAGCAAATTGCAAATTAAATTAAAGTGCATAGCACAGCTGGCTAATTGAAATCTATGAGGGGTAAAGAGATTTGGCAAACATTTAGCCAAATTAGTTTGGGCTTCCAGTTCCGGCCGAGTGAAGGCCTTTTTGGGGTGCTCTCCCTTGAGGCCAGAGTTGTGATTACCGCCTGGGATTACAGCTGGCGGGAGTATCGTCTGATTAGTGAGCGTATCATATGTCATTCTCCCTTCAGAGTTGACTTGGGTGGAATAAAGTGAAGTGAAGTAGAGTAGAGTAGAGTGGAGTGGAGTGGAGTGGAGTGGAGTGGAGTGGAGTGGAGTAGTCCCTGACCATTTCATACATTTCCATAGAGCACACATCCACTCTATTTCATTCATTTCCATACATTCATTTGTAACTCGGAGTCCAAACCAGACACTCACAGACAGAGGAAGAAAATAAGAGTATTTAGAGAGCTACAGAAAAAAATACATATTTTTATATGACAATTCAAACCTTAAAAATCTCATAACTAAGCCAAAACAGCGTTAATTTTCATTCGGAAAACTTTTCTATGTTAGTTTTTAGTTGGTTAATAATAAGTTTTTTTAAACATAGCTAGATCGATTTGGCAGTTGATGCTGATCAAGAATATATATGTTATGATTTATGGGGTCGAAATGACTCCTTCACAGTTCTACAATCTTCTGACTAAACGTACAATACCATTCTTTGAGTCGGTATTTGTCTATATTTTATAAGGCAATTAGTTAAACAAATCACAGTTTAAAAATTTCATAACTAAGCCAAAAAAGCATTAACTTCAATTCAGAAACCGCTCCTATGTAAGTTTTTTATAGGTTTATAAATCTGCATACATCTGTCTGAAATGACTTTTTCATAGCGTTATAATTATATTAGCTTCAAAGGGTATTTTTATTCCCCTTCCTAATAATGAATGTTACTTTTAATGAAATTTGGAATCTTTCAAGCTCTAGTTTCTAACTGTGCATCACTCCCATATGTATCCCCTTGGAGTGTTATCATCACGATTATTGCGTATGCAACCACAACAGCCCTGATGACAATCGTCATCATCATCATCATCATCATCCACACAGGCAACGGCAGTGACATCGTAATAGACATCGACAACGCCATCACCATGGGCAAACAAACACCAAACGGCAAACAGAAATACAAATCAGCCGGGTCAACAGAGACACCACCACGGCCTATAATGTGGAATGGCTCCTTGTGGTCATGTGTGTGTGGACCATTAAATGCAATTACAGGCACGATACTGCCAGTGCCACTGCCACGCCCACAATGGTAATAGCCATAATGGAGAGATATGTCATGCTGTTGGGAGCGACCTTTGGCCTTCCGGTGAATACTCACTTGCAATGGCGGAGCATGTCCCGTAGCACCGCCGATGTCCCCATTGGCCGTGCTCCTGGCCCCATCCTCATGGGCAGCCACCTGTTGCGCCGCCTTGGCCGCTGCATCCACTGGAAAAGGTAAATAAATAAATATACATAAATATAAATGTAGATAAATAAATTTATTGAGTGTCCTTCATGCCCTGTTCCCAAACCAATTAAGTTATGGATTTACGCAAAATGCGTCAGGCTTTTAAAATCCAGTTTCGCCTTAATGGAATATAATAAAAAAATATGTATAAATCAAATTACCAGAGAGAGAGGGAGCTGGGGGATCCTTTGGATCTGACAGAACTGACAGACAGCTGGGGATCCCCCTTTAGCTGCAATTGCAGCCGGGGGCCAAAGCCATTTGCATTTATAAATTGGCTTTTTGCAATTCATGAGCTAAATGTCATCCGGCCAATGGCAGAAGGATGTGGCCATAAAATGAGGAGACCCGGGGTGCGGTCACTGCGAAATGGCGACAAATGTCGGGCCCCAGGGACAACTGTGCAGCTGTGCATGCAAATGGCTCCGCCAGGACCCAGGACCTTGCTGTGGCAAAACAGGAAGTTTAAGTGGAAGTGGCCAGGCAGCAAATTTATAAACAACATTTCAGTTCAGTAAAAGAACAAAGTTTTCAAGAGAGCATAGAAGACACACTTCCAGGACTATTTTGGATAAATATTTAACTAGGAAATTGCCTTGAATTTATGTATGTAAAAAATGTTCGCAATTTAAGGAGTCTTTACAAGCAAAAAGTCCAACATTGAACACTTAAAGTTCCAACTGTTTGCCATCCTGCATGTTGTGTTCATTAGGAGTCTCTCTCCTACCTCTACCCTTACATTGCCTTGAATTTGATATTCCCAGCCTGCCTTCCCTCAACTGATGAACTTTTCTTTTTTGCTTAGGAAAACCCCGGGCAGCTGCTGCGTGTGCGGAGCTCATTTGCATTTTTCATAGACTTCTTCTTTGGGTTCTATGCGAAGAAAGCAGAAGAACGGGGTAAATGGAAGCAGGAAGTAGCTCTGTCGGCCATGTGCTTCGATGGCATAACATATGGGACAGGGAGCCAGGGAAAAACAACTAGGGGAGCATAACTCTGGCCACATTACGCATACGCCATGTGGCACGGGGCACTCACCTGAGTTGGCCGTCATCAGTTTGTTGTTGGCTGCCGGCGTTCCCACCTGTGCCGGCTTCTTGTGGTGGTGATGGTGATGGTGATGATGGTGCTTCTTCTTGTTCTTGATGATGATCTTTCGACGCAGCATGGCAGGCGGTGGCAGGTCCACATTGGGTTCCAGGGGATGGGAGTCCATTGGCTTGTCGAGCAGCATATCGCCAAATATTTCGCGGCAATAGTTGGCAATTTTCGCCTATCGAATGGGATTGGAAGAGTACGAGAGGGGAAAATTAATGAGCTGGCATAAAGTTGTGTCGAGTAAGACAGCTTAACAATCTGCTAACTGGCAATTGATGGGTTAACATAACGCAAAGTTTTCCCCTATCTACACAGAGAACAAATTGGAAATTAATTAATATTGCATGCCTTAAGCCGCTTTATAATCATGTTCCTTGGATGAATATAATTATCTCCTCTTATAGAAAACTTCTTTGTTGCATCTTTATCTTACAAGTTCCCTGAAAATTATGAATTATTCTTATGTTTATTAATTTTTAGCCGTGTATATCCTCTTCCAACATATGTTCTCAACCTTTGCTGTGTTGTAAGTTTTGCCTTCTGGCACGCGGCACGTCTGTTACCTGCCTCCCAGTGGGAAATTTAGTTTATATTACTACTTTTAATGGTTAAACTTTAGCCTCTTGTTGGGCATACTCCGGCTCTCCGGCTGCCTCTTCTTTCAGGCCGTAAAAACTTTGCCTTTGTTATTATCTCGCTCGTGGAGCTTAAGCAGCCAGCAATTACCTTTCGAGTGGCTTCTGAGATTCGCCACGTTCCGGGGGACAGGAGCTGCCCGAGTCCCGAGACCCGTTTCCCGGACTCCCTTCATGGTCTTTAAGTAATGTTTTCGGACTGAAGGACTCCTGCTCCCTCATGTGGGCCTTGTTCTTTGTTTGTCTTTCGTTTGGCGAATGATGGATTAGGCCGCTCAGTGGAGGACTCACTCCACACTCTGCCTTTGCCTGTTGTTTTAGGACAAGTAACTTTTTGCCCTTCTGCGATGTGCAATTTGATGTTTGCTAACAAGGTGAGCGGGGAGTGTACCTACAGTTTTTACTGCCGTACTACCATTTTTTTGTTTGGGGTTCAGTAATTTTTCTGTTGTTAGTCTTTGGAACTTAGTATCCTCAGATGAAGGTGAAGTTATGCTTGAAATTGTAGCTACAACTCTCGCTAGCTTAGCTCTATTTGCCTCTTAATCCTGCTTTAAAATGTTACCCAAAGACATCCCTTATAAACTTTTACAATTCCTCACCTGTTGCCTTGGGTTGCAGTGATTTTCAAAGCTCAATATCACAGGGTATTCGGATGTTTTAAATGCACTCTCTGCGATGGCCTCCAGCACATCCTTGGCGAATATCTCCGGGACGAAGGTGTAGCCGTGGACGATGACCGGCTCCTCGGTGCGTCCGTTCCAAAAGTCCAGCTCGACGCATCTGCAATAAAGCGGCGATGACAGATGCACCGCAAGCAGTAAAACTAAAATGACAATTTCCTTTTCACTTTTCCTCTGGCATTTCCCCATTGCATTCCCCCCACATGCATTTCCCCCCTGGACCGTAAATCGTACGCAAAGTGGCGAATGCATTGCGACAGGCGTGCAAGCGGAAAATAAACGCAAAGTAACAGCTTCTGCGTCAATAAATTTTGTGATGTGTGTGCATCATCGTCAGAGGCATCATCAGGGCTTCAAAGGAGCGACAGCGAGTGACACAGGGAATACAAGAGTGCAGCGCACCGAGAAAAATAATCAATAGTCGCCTGTGTAAGCTGGCGAAATAAATACATTTATCCTCTGGCAAACACAGGCAATTTAAACTGACAATCCAGCCAATTGGCGAGCGGATAAATTCGAAAGGATAGAGGGCACATCTCGTAATAAAATGTACATTAACTTTAATGACGCCACTCTAAACTTTTATGTTCTGCGAAAAACGAACCAAGCTGAAACAGTGACCAATTCGATTATCTATAATAAAACCAACGGAACACTGGCAACAAAAAAAGGCCAAATATATAAAACATTATTTCGCATTATTTCGCATTTTAGGGTATTTTCATTTTAGTCCGAGGGTTGTTACACTTTGAACGAATCATTTCCGACCCTATATTATATTATACATATTCTTGATCAGCATTAACTGCCGAGTTGATTTAGCTATGTCATGTTAAAAAAAAAATATCGAAATTTTTCAAAAAAATTAAAAGGGTTACATCGTTAAATTTTTCAAAAATTGGTAAAATTGTCAAATTTTTAATTGTTAAATTTAGTATGCAGATTTATTAACCTAATAAAAACTAGCGTAGGAGCGGTTTCCAATTATAATTAATGATTTTTGGATTAGGTGTGAGATTTTTAAACTTTCATTTGTCTAAAAATTGTCATAGAAAAATAACAATAAATATCGTTTCAAAGAATGGAAATATTTTAAGCTTAATTATGATCAATTTCCGATTTGATCCTATAATTTAATTGGAAACTGCAAGGGTATATAAAATTTGGGCTTCCCGAAGATTGTTTAATTTCTAGATTAGCAAAGATATCCGCTTTAATATATGTACAGTCCTAATTCAAATTATTTTAAATCAATTTAATTAAATGTTTTCTACAATTTTGATTACTTTTAACTTAAATAAATAAATTCAATATATCAAAATGTAATACATTTTCAATATGTTAAAAAGCATTTAACAATCTATCATATATAAATTTTCAATCCCTATTTACTCTAGTCTCAGAAAAATCCAATTAAATTAGTGAAAATCTACCATTATCGTGGGACAATGGTGAGATAAATCTTGTTTTCCAGTGCACACACACACACAGTTTTCATGGGAAAACTGATGCACCTGATGCACTCACTCATTCACTCACGTTCGCTCAAGTGAATGCAAGAGAGAGAGAGAGAGAGAGAGAGAGAGAGAGAGAGAGAGAGTTGCGATGAAGGTCATATTTGCAACACACATACACACTCAACAACACACGTGGCCCAAGGTCATGGCCAGGCAGCATCCAACACCACATTTGACCACATCCAGTTGCGTCATTTGCATTCCACTCCCCAACTAGCCAGGATTAAGATCCCCACAGGAGCGGCACACTCACCTGCATCCTGCCAGGAGGCACTGCCTGTATATCTCCACGGAGGACTTGCCCGTCAGCTGATGGCCCGTCAGGTAGGTGTTGTGCGAGGAGTTGATGAAGTAATGCGACAACGGCTGGTCCATATCGTCGCAGAGATCGAGCTTGTTGGGAGCCATGATGGGGTTGTCATCACCCATGAGGTACCTGAGGGAATAGAAGGGATTTAGTTAGGCGGCACATAAGGAGAACGGAGGAGGAGGAGGCAAAGGATACCAAGAGTATGTGTCGGCACTTAAGTGTAAGCGTGAGAAAAGCTGCCTCAAGTGTCCCTAAGCCTTTTATGGCTGCCAGCAGCTTTCCGCGAAACATGTTAACAATGAGGCAAATGCACTTGGATTAAATTTTGGCATCTCACTAGTCTTTCCTTGTAATTGCAATCTAAGATTTAGGTTGTTGTACATTCTACAAGGATTTCTTGTTTAGTTAGGAGCAACTTTTACCTTCAAAGAGGATCTCTCTCGTTTTGGGGCACCTATTTCTGTTTGTGTAGGTTCTGGTAACACATCCACTTGGCGGCTGAAGGCTCAAGGATTCGAGCAGTTTCTGGCCAAGGTCGTTAGCGAGTTGTCACGACTGCAGCAGTCTCACGCTGCCTCCCATTATCCTTTTTTGTTTCCCCCTAACAAACGTCATATGCATATGCAAAGGATATGCACTCGCAGTCGCACTCGTAGTTGTACTCAAGAGAGCCTTCAAGTGACTCTAACAGGCCTAAAAGCTGTCAGCTGCGCCTGATAAGCTGTCACGAACAGAACAGCATCTCACTTCTGCTCCTCCTCCTCCTCCTCACTTCACTCCCACCAGCAACAAGTCAGACTCACCTCAAAAAGCCATCCAAACTGAGCTGGCCCTTTTGTGCATTGAACTTGTTGGGCTCATACTGCTGGATGAGCTCCTTGGCCCGAGCAGGATTCGCATAGGGATACAGGATCTCGTTCAGGCGGGGATCACGCTGCGTCTTGTTGAGGAACTCCACCAGCTGGGCAATGGACATGCACTTGCGCTTCGAGTTGCCAACGCTAAGGAATAAAAGAAAAGCAATGAATATTTACAGGAAACTCTGCTGTTTACATCAAATTATACACTAAAAGACTCTTCATAAATGTCATTAAAAAGGAAGGAAGCACCTATTAAAAGTGGTAATTATGTCATGAATAAATTATAGATAAATTACGACTATAAATAACACAAACACTGAACATTTGTTATTAAAATTAAAAGCAAATACTCACGTAGCATGATTAATTATATAATAATAAATTAACTGAAGAGTGTTTATTATGTTATCCAACAAACAATATAGATTGAATTCCACTTTTTTGTGGTCTAAACTTACATGCTGTCAAATAGCCGCTCCACCTCCGACCGCTGCGTGAGGCATTTGTACAAATTGTAAAAGTCCTCGAATTGAAATTTCGACACCGATATGCTATCGACCTTTCCCGAAGGCAACCCGGTCACGTCCAGCGCCTTCTCGACACGTTTCCGATCCTCCTTGTTCTGGGCGAAAAGTTTTATGATGCTAAAGTGGTCACGGCCAAAAATTGACCAGCGAAGGAGGACCAAGGACCGAGGACCAAGCACCAAAGGGCAGACAATGCGTTGATGATGACGATGATGATGTTCGTCAGTGATGCATGAGCCACGTTCCAGGAGTGGCCGCAAATAGGTAGCAGTAGCAGTGGCAGGAACAGGAGCAGTACCAGGAGCAGGGAGAAAATGCGAAATAGAAATTGGCGTAAATTTCAATTTTCAAGCTCAACGTTGATGGCTGCTACACTTAACAAATATTTGTCAAATGCTTCAACGCACAATGCACAAAAGCCAGGCGATCCCAGCCAGGACCCCTTGGGCTCTGAACATTGGGCATTGAGAGCACAGGGATGGGGGAGTGGGACTGGGGATGATTGTCAATTACTTTTTCACTGGTATGCGTCCAGTCTTGTCCACCTGCAGGCAGAGCTTGGTGTGGGCCTTCTGCAGGAACATAATCGCCGAGCCATTGAGCTGGGCCAGGCTGTAGGCCAGCTTGATGAGGCCATCGGACCAGAGCTGGAAAAAGAGAATGCGGAATGTGGTGAGCACCTGGAGGATGGATTAAAACGAAGTGGCGAAGCGGGGAATGTCTGCATTATGGGGTGAGCTTACCTTTGTATTTCAGTCAAGAGAGGAAATGGAAGGTGGGTTCAATCAACATTGAGATGGCTCAAAATGAAGGAAAGAATAGACAACTAGCTCTGGATTATATTTCCTGAAGGATAGAATCCCCTGAGGCAAGAATCCAAACCAAAATAAGCTTGAATTTAAATTACCTTTAAAATTAAACCAAAGTATAGCTATATACATCATTTAATATTTCACAAAATTAATCCCTGCAGCAAAACAAACAGTTTGCCTTCAGGAAAACTCTTTGCATTAATCAAATTTCCTGTACCTTGATTAAATCCAAAATTCTGTGTAAATACAAGGCTAACCCGGCGTATGAGCAATATTTGTTTAAAATCTTCTCTGCTTTTCCCTATGAATTCCACAAACACAACGTAGACAAAATCAAATATCAACATTGATTTCGTCGAGAACAAAGGAAAACGGCTAACTATCAATAAAACCAATACCAGGAAGCGTAATATTTGCTTAAAGTTGGCTTTTTCCATGAATTTGATTAACCCAAAATGTGCTGTAACACACACGGTCAGGGCACGGACATGGACACGGATTTGCTCATGTAAAAGGAATTTTCCCCCCAGATATTGTGTGTGTGTATTGGTATTTGGAAGCAGCACACGGGGCGTATGCGTGATGCAGGCAGACCCCCGATTGATGCGTTCGAGACAGAGTGTTTGTTTCTAGCTTCTAAACCACAAACTATCGTCATGGCCAAGCATTTTCTTTCTTTCTTGTTTATTTTCCTTTGCGTCGCTTATTTTTGCGCGCCTTTTGAAAAATGTATGAATATTTTCGGCATTCTCATAATTTTATTTGCCGCTGCGCTGCGGTTCGAGTTTTGCCTTTTTGTTTATTTCGGGAATATGTCCGCGACGCGTGCCAAAAATAATAACCACAACAGCACGGACCCGGACCTGGGGGTTCTGCTGACCATTGATAAAATAGAACATTGATTCCTTCTCGGGCAAGGTCGAGCCTGGCCGACGCTGGCAGACGGGACACGAAGGATGGTCGAAGTTTGGACACGCCCCTCCTGGACGGAAATCAATAAAAAGCACCGTTGAGTGGTCCATAATAATTCTTTACGCGTCGAGCCTTCGTCGGAGCCACACTAAAAATAGCCAAAAACAAAGGGCGTTCCATGGCACAGGTGTGTCTCCTCCAAAAAGGTGGAGCAGCAATAATACACAAACAGAAAAGATTGGAGAACAAATAAGGAAGGAGCTCTTTGTGGAGGTTGAATGTTTATAAATTAATAAGGAATCTTTTTTAAAGTAAAAAGAAGACTTGGGGAATTATTTTCTGGTTTCTAGCTGCTGTCAAATTTGTATCTTTACATTAGAAAAATAGATGATTTCAAACATTTCATGTGTAAAAGACCTTTTTAACAGAAAGTATTTTAGGAATTTGGTTTGGAAATAAGCAATTAATTTAAATAATTTCAAAGTCCCCCTGCAATTTCTCAAAGTGTACAGAAGGCTACCGACCATCATGTCCATCATTAGCGTCGCACACTCGACCCAATTCCCCGAGTGACTGGGAGCTGGGTGTGTGAGTGGTGTGTGGTTTGACGTGTGTGTAAAGTGTATGTTGTTTGTCTGTGTGTCGAGGTGACCCACAAATGGGCCAAGCAAATGGTAAATGGCTTTTCCCCTTTCAATACTTTTCAGTTGTCACACTTCCGAGTCGTCAGCTTGTTGTCACCGCGTCCGCCAAGTGGCCAATAATGAGGTGGCTACTAAAGCTAACTTGGACGCTGGCCAACAGGGGACTCGGAACTGGGGACTGGGGACTGGGGACTGCAGACTGTGGATTGACTCACCTGGGCAATGTCCCGTCGGGTGCAGCAAAAGTTGACAAACGTCATATTGACGAAATCGGAACCGTGACAGACCGTCACCGTCTTCTCCTCCAGCGTGTCCTGCTGCCCCAGGGTCACAATTTGGCGCAGCTTGTTGTCCTGCAATCGAGAGAGCGTCGAAAGAGAGATGAAAAGATTATTAATTACCAGAATGACCAAGAGGAAATCGAGGGGCACCATGCGCCAAATGAAATTTTATGGCCCGACAGCGAGTCGTAAATGGAAGTCATATCCTTGTGCGCTAATCCAGCGAGTGCAGCAAAATTCATTTGGCCCAAATCGTAAACCAGACAAATACACAAACACTACCGGGGATTCCCCCTTCGGGGTGCCATATTTCAATTAAACGGCACAAATGGATTTACGAGCCCGCCAGAACGTGCATCCTTGGCCCGAGCGAAGTCAAGTCGAAGCTCGGAGCTGGGAGCTGGGAGCTCGGCAGCTAGAAGTTCGCCAAGGCAGTCGAGCAGCAAAACATTTCGAGCACAAAGCCAACTGGGTTAAATGCAAATCAGCTAGCGCTCCCGAGAAATATAAAAAGAAGTCATTTGTGGACTTTCCAGACAAATTAATACCCCTTAGAGAGACAGTTTATAGCTGCTTTGGCTTGGAAGTCTGCCAATTACTTGAGTTTTGTTTGCAAACACATACTTTTTATATAGGCTTATAAAAGAGTCTTTTAAAATAACAAGCAGATTGGGGTTTTATATATGGAACGAGAGGAAATGTAAAAATAATTCAATAAATCGATATTTCCTGACATTCCTATAGCAGGCTCATATAAAGGGTATATATATTTACCCAAAATCGTTTCTAAAATCCAGCCTTTTCTTCCTATGTTTAGCATGTTACAAATAAACTTAAACAGCTTAAAAATTGTATATCTTATGTACACCTAATTTATAGATTTATTCTGATCTCTGATTTTATACAAATATGTGATCCAAAACCTGTCCGATTTTCCAGAAACGTTCTACACTAACCGCCGTCTAAATGCCTGGTTTAAAACCTTATTTTGGCGACCATCAGACCTCCCCTTAACTAACCCACTGAATCGGGGGCTCAGCCCGGGATTATCAACGTCCTTTCGAATGCATGACACATAGTTTGGACATTGGACAACGGACAACGGACTACGGGCAGGGATGCAATGGAAGAAACCAGGACGCCGGACGCAGGGCGGACTTGAAGCGGAAGCCAGAGCATGAATTTGGCATTAACTTTGTGGCTGGCCATGTCTTGGCATTCGCATTCAGCCAGCATAGGGGATTGGGACTGGAACTGGGTCTGAGACTGGGACTGGGGATGGAACTGGGGATGGAACTGGGATGGAACTGGGTCTGGGGTGTGGATGTGTTTCCTGTCTTCCTGCAGCGCTTCCGGCGATGGGACATTTGACAAACTGGACCTTATCCGAGGGAGCTTTGAAAGGACTATGATGGAGGCCAGGGAATGTTATCTTTTGTGCTCGCACAACGAATGCACAAGCTGCGAATAAATTCTCAGGCAGATGACTTTCAATGCTCTTAAATGTCTGAGCTCTGATATTTGAACCAAAAGCGTCTTATGGTCGAAACTAAAACCAATCAGACACTCGGAAAAAGAAATTTTACTTTTCAATTAATTGGATAAGAAATTTTAGATATGAAAAGATATAATTCCAAACCTATTTCATAATTTAATCATCTTTTAAGACTCATACTTTTGTTAATTAAATTAATAGCTATATTCTTTTAGTGTATGCAAATCGATCCCTTAATAAGCTCTGGCTCTAATCGCCTCTGATGATGGCCTGTCAGAGGCCAGGATGAGGACTACGGTCGACTAATTGAATGGCTCGTTGCTGGCTCCTGGCTCATGGCTCCTCTGCGGGCCATTATGGCATCGTTCCGGTAAGCGGTGATAAACGAGAACCCACCTATGAGGGGGGGAAGGTAAACGTTTATCTGCCAGCGTCATGATTTGCTTTTAACTAAAAACTAATTCCGGCAAATTTGTCCCTCTCTGAATAATGTAAATGGCTCTGCCGCTGTTCTCTGTGCGTCCGGATTTTTGGCTCTGGCACCGTGGGAAGTTGGAAGCGTAAAGCGGAAATGACTACGGTGATTATCTTAATTGCTTCTCACGCTTCGCGCTTGGAACTCACGCGCAGGACTCCTGAACCTCCACTTTGCCACTTGGTTGTTTGGAAGGGAAAACAGATAGAGAGAGAGCTCTGTCCTGGAGCACCCGCTAATCCTTTCGGCTGTGCTCGAAATTTGAATTTTAAGAACGCTCATTATGTGCCAGAGGAGGAAGGAAGGCTGGGGTTAATTTTAGACAGCCCCAATTCCACTCTACACCGGAGCAGTTATTGATTTTGAAAGGTGCTAATATAGATATACAATTTATGATGGAATTTTAAGGCACCAATCGTTTTACTTTTGGCTTATGAGTCAGTCATAACATTATTTTCAAACCAGAGATTCACATGTGTCTTTCAGATTTTCCAAAAGTTTTCAAAATTCTAAGTGAAATTCTTCAACCGCAGGCTCAACATTATATGTTGAGACTCTAGTTCAACGAACGGTTCATTTAGTATTAGAAATCAGATATCTTTTTATCTTTTAAAGATATTTTTTTAAATTGGACACAAATTTTTTAAAATACAAATAAAAAAAACGGTTAAAAGTTGTATCTCGAGACCCCAAGACCGTTTCAAGGAAGATGAGTACCCGCCGCAAGAGCCGCCAGGAGCCACCTTGTGCCTCCCGTCCGGAGGTGAACTGCGAGAATCAATCCCCTTCCGCAATTTCCATTGCCGGAGACATCTGTCTCCTGAATCCCTATGGAGTGATGCGCCAGCGAAACTGCAAGCCAGGCGCATTTTGTCTTAGAGAGTCTTATCCCAGCATCCGTCCACCGGTGTCCAGGTGCAGCCACAACCAGACTATGAGCTGGCTAAATAAGTCCCTGGAGGATGCCGGCTGCTTCGATCCCCATCGCCAGGACGATGCCCTCAAGATCTGGCAGGGAATTTCGCACAACAACACACTTAATTACTATGGCATTGAGAATATCATCCAAGCACCCGAGGCTAAGATCTTTAATAAGACTTTGAAGAGAAGTCTGAAGCATTCTATCATTGCTAAGCGTGTGCCGCGGCGGAAAGTTCCTCGTCCGTCACTATCCCCACCCATGAAGCCTCCGCAGCCAGCTCCATTTTGTCAACCGTACATCCTTAATCTCCCGGCCCTGCAAGCGGAGCTCGGAGGATGCCCACTGTGAAGCAAAAGCTGAGACCTAACAACGCCTTCAGTGCTCTGTACTGCAAAACACCTACGGATCCCCGATCCACTGGGCGTGAACAAAGCCACGTCCCAGGCCAGGGCGAAGGTGTCACTGGGGAAAGCCCTGGGCATGAAAAAACCAGGAAAGGCACCAAGCAACCGGGCCGACACAAGTACTGGTACTGCTCCCCGAAATGTAGCGGAATGAGACCAAGTGCACGGACTACGAGTGGGCTAAATACAAGCTGGATTCCAGGCCCTACGACGAGGCATTCCAGAGGTGGTTTATGGAGCAGACTGACGTTCAGGCGGATTTGAGCCACAGGACTATGAAGACTCTACAACCGTTTCGAGGCCTGCTTCGAGATCAAACCCGAGCCGGATCATGAATGCATGGTTATGGCGAGTGCTGTATGAAAATGCACATGACAGAAGGAGGATCAGCTTGCGATGGTGCTGGTGGAGATGGTATTGGTGGAAGAGGTGGAGAGGGTCAGGGCAGTAGAGCTGATAGTACGGCTGGTAGATCTACCCTTAGAGACCAGGATCAAGACGGAGATAGGAATATCGGCAAGGATAATGACAAATCCAAGAACAGGGAAAATGACACGGGCAAGGACAAAAATAAAGACAAGGACAAAGATAAAGACCAGGACAAGGATAAAGACAAGGACAAGGACAATGCCAAAGACATAGACAAGGATAACGACAAGGACAAGGACAAAGACAAGGGCAAGGATAAAGACAAGGACAAGGATAAAGACAAGGACAAGGACAAGAATACGGACAAGGACAAAATGAGGGACAAAATGGGCAAAAATAAAGACAAGGGCAAGGATAAAGACACGGAAATCTGGGACAAAGAATATAAGGATAAGGACAAGGGCAAGGGCAAGGGAAAGAACAAGGAAAATGAAAAATCATATTGGGATGACGATGATAACAAAGACAAGAATGCGGGCCGGGGCAAGGGCAAGAAAAAGAGCACAGACAAGACTTATTGGGAAGACAGTGATGCGACCGAGGAAAGATGGAGCAAGAAGTTCAAAAAGGAAGAGCAAGAACATACAAAAGATGAAATCAAGTCTGGCAAGAAAACCAAGTTGGCCAAGGATCTTGGAATAATCGATGACCTTCCTTATGAGCACTTCCCGAACATGTCCCCTCGGCAGTCAGTGGTAATCAAAGAACCGCCTAAAAAGGAAGAAGAACCCATAAAAGAAAACACCGTCAGTTCGACATATAAGCCCAAAGAGCCCCAAAAGCTACGGAAGCGTAAGAAACCCCGACCAAGTCGAAAAAGTCTTCTGTCAGCGAGAAAAACAAGATCCGGCACCGCAGTGTCCACCTTGTCCTCCCCTGGGCTGTCCGTGCGGCATCTGCAATTTCTTATATGGGGAGCAGGTGGAGGACAAGCCATTCATGAAGGTTCTGCTGCGCGAACAGAAGGAGCGCGAGTTGAGGGAATATCTCCGAATCATTCGGAATCGCCAGTACTTCGAGTGTGGTGGCTCCACGTGCAGGGCACCGCTGCACCGTGTGGATCCCATCACCTGCGACAACGGCTTCTGCCTCAATCCCAAGCTGACCGAACATTGCGACTGCCTGGGTGCCCTGCAACGCCTGCAGCAGGTCCTCGAAAAGCGTCGCCATCAGATTGTCAACAAGGAGTTGATCTCCGATCTCCGAAAGCAAGTGGCCCGCCGGTTGTGTGAGTGCATCGAGACCTGACCTCGGAACCGAGAAGTGTTTGGCTGTGACCGTGGTATTTTAACCTGTGTACCAGTGAACAAGTTCGGTGCCTTTTTTTTTTAACAAAATTTTACAATGAATATGAAACGATTTTTTTAAAAAAGGGTTGCGTTTGTTAATTTGGGAAAGATAGGGTAATATCTAATAACTTTTATGATATAAAAAACTTTCCCTTTAGTGTGCCTATCGAATCTTTTGCATCCTGGATAAACTATAGCTTTATTCTATGTTTCAGACATATGATAAAATAGGTTAGGTTTTTAGTTCTGTATCTTTTCATTAGTTATTCGACTTGGTAACAACTTGGAATGTATATCAACAGGAAGAGTATATTAAAAACATATATAATGTTATCGTTATGTTTCCGTTGCTGCTAAATGAATAGGACCAAAATACCAAAAAATCATTTGTACATTGAATACAATTTATAAACATTATACATATTTATACTTTCAGTATTATGTATATTTTTAATTGTTCTGAATTAACTGTTATGATATCCAAGTAAGCCTTGAATCGAAAGCCATTTATCCTAACCTTTTAAGGTAACCTTACCTTAGTATTTTCTCACGTTTTAAACGAACAACATCTAAATTTTAAATCGAGCATGTTCCTGTTGGTTCTCACCTATTAATTCATAACATTTAAAAATCTTATAAATAAGTACGTGTTGGACCCGAATCGGTTGACATTAAACCAGAGAAAGAAAGAAATATCACACAATAATGGGCAGACCAGTATCGCAACGCCGGCAATCGATGAGATTCGTGAGCGGTCAGGGGCCCAAGAGCGAGCCAGAGCCACAGTCACAGCCCGATAATGAGCCCGAGGCGGAGCCGCCTTGCCAGGAGCTCGATCCTGTGAACACATACCAGGAGGAACCGCTACCCATGCGCAAGTGGATGCGGTGGCAGAACTGCAAAACCTTCGAGCTGACAAACACTGCAGAGACTTATCCCAGCATCCGGCCACCGATTAATACTTGCACACCCGGGAAGAGTCTGACATACATTGACGATTCCATGGAGGTCAACCAGTGCGGCCGGATGTTCCAGATGGGCAAGGATGACGTGCTGGCCGTATGGAACCAGAGTCCGCGCAAAGACACCCTCGCCTGGTACGGCATCGGTGAGCAGAGTGCGTCCTACAACGATGCCGTGGCCAAGAGCCTACAGGCGGCCAGCCAGAAGGCCAAGAAGCCGAAGAAGTCCCGCATTCGTCCTGAGCAGAAGCTAAAAGTTAAGGAGCCGCTTGGGCCATATGTCTTGGACCGGGTGTGCCTGAAGGCCAAGCTGGATAAGATGCCCAATGTACGGCGCCAGTTGAAAGCCAACAATGCTTTGTCCTGGCTGCACTGCCCGGAGCCCGTGGATCCCGATCATCCGTTCGAGGATCAATCCGCCTTCCCAAAGACCAGCATTCAGTTGGCGCCAGCGAAGCGATCGAAGTCTCCGAGGCCCCCAAAACGTGGCCTGCGCCGTAAGCACTGGTACTGCCCCCACAAGGCGGCAGGTGGAGAAGACGAGGAGAACAAGTGCATCACGTACGAGAGAGCCATGAAGGCTACCCTCCCAGCCGTCCAAGGAGAAACGGTCGCCCAGGAGCCGGACAAGGAGCCAGAGCCCAGGAACTATGATGAGCTGTACAAGTCCCTAGAGTGCTGCTTCGTCCAGAACCCCAATGGGTTCAATGATATTTGCGAGACATACGAGCAGTGCTGCAAGGATCCCGAAGATCAGACCATTCAGGGGTGCAACGAGTTCCTGCCGGAAACTGCCGGAGAAAGTGGTAAGTTGGGCGACAAGAACGCCGACACGGACGATGTTAGGATGGGGAAAATATATGAGGGGAGGGGAGAGGGCCGTAAGAAATGTGATGTCGTAATAAATGCCAAAGGAAAGGGTAACGAAGATGGTGCAGGAGATGGCAAAGGAGAAGGTAGAGGACTTGCCAAAAGAGAAAGTAAAGGAAAAGGTAAAGGAGTTGGCAAAGGAGATGGTAAAGGGGATGGTAAAGGGGATAGAGGTGGCAAAGATGGCATAGAGCGCGGCAAAGGGGATGTCAAGGGGATGAAAAAGGAAATAGCAAGGGAGGCGACGGCAAAGGAGCCGGCAAAGGAGACGGCAAAGGAGACAGCAAAGGAGACGGTAAAGGAGATGACCAAGGTGATGGAAGAGTAGGCGGTAAAGCAGGTGGCAAAGCAGTAGGAGAAGGCGGCAAAGAAGATGGCCAAGGAGATGTGAAAGGAGATGGCAAAGGAGCCAGTAGAGGGGATGGCAAAGGGGGCGGTAAAGAAGATGGTAAGGGAGATGCCAAAATAAATGCTAAGAATGTTAAGGGAGATGGCAAAGCAGGTGGTAAAAATAAAATCGAAGGAGATGGCAAAGCAGGTGGTAAAAGAGAAAGCAAAGAAGATGGCAAAGCAGGTGGTAAAAGAGAAAGCAAAGAAGATGGCAAAGTAGGTGGCAAGAGAGCAAGCAAAAGAGATGGCAAAGTAGGTGGTAAAAGAGCAAGCAAAGGAGATGACAAAGCAGTTGGTAAAACCAAAATCAAAAGAGATGGCAAAGCAGGTGGTAAGAGAGAAAGCAAAGTAGATGGCAAAGCAGAAGGTAAAAGAGAAAGCAAAGGAGATGGCAAAGCAGGTGGCAAAAGAGAAAACAAAGGAGATCACCAAAAACGTCACAAAGGAAATAACTTCAGAAAATCCCATAGATATAGTGATAACGAAGACTATGGCCGACCTGATAAAAAGAAAAGAAAAAGCATATATCGGCACGAACGCCCCACAAACGAAGAGTCGCTTCCGGAAGAGGAAGAGAATGAGGAGGCACCCATCCCCACGAAACCCATAGCCATTGGACACGGCAGCAATGCCGGCGGTGATACTGGTGGAGATACCAAAAAATATATTGGCAAAAAGAGGAACAAAAAGCAGATAGATTTTAAGACAGTTGACAAGGTGAAAAGGGACAAGGGATGTCCGTGCGAGATCTGCTGCCAGGTGACAAGAGTTAAGGACAGCCCCCTGATCATGGAGATGCGCCGGCGGAATAAGGTGCTTGAGCGACGTGGCTATCTCCGCCAGATGCGGCATCGCCAGTACATGGAGTGCAAGGCGCCGGGAGACCGACATGCTCCACAACACAAGTGCGACGTCGTCGAGTCCGACACGCGGTTCTGCTGCAATTCCCAGCTGCAAACCCACTTGGGTAGGATTCAGGCCATTCAGCAGCTGCAGGGAGCTCTGCAGCAGGGTAACCGATGCGAATACGAGTGCATTTCCCAAAATCTGGACTCTCTGCTGTCACGACTGTGCAGCCACCTGACCAGGAGTTCGCCCTGCGGATGACCCATCCCGATCGGCGCACCACCACCACCACCACCACCATTCCCACAGTGTGCGCTTGCAATATGTATTTCATGAGTTCAAGTCCTCATTCATATACAGAGATTCCCATTTTTGTATTTTAATAAATCGGATCGCTTTTCTGCCCAAAGGGACTTGTACTCATTTAATCCAAGGCACACAGGCGGGGCTGGTGGCTGGTCGGGATCTCTTCTGCTCCTTCCTCGTGGCTTCCAGTTAATCACACATATTCCCTTTGCCTCTGCTCCGTTCTGTGGGTGTCTTTTTTTTTTTTTTGCGGCCAACGCCCACGCACTCTGTGCATTTAATTAATGCTACGATTTCGCTTTTAAGGTCCTTGCAACATTCATTATTTTCCCCAGTTTCTGTTTTGTGGCAGAAAGTTCTCTCTTTACTCTTTCCTCTTGAAATTAATAGTCAAGGTTTTTTTTAGGATTTTGTTGCAGAATAAGACCTTTTAATGCGTTAAATAACTATTTCCGTTCTAATCTTAGATATTCTATGAAATTTAAAACAACTGTTGAATTTGTTTAATATTATACACGAACTTTGTTCTATTTCCTAATCATACAAATCGATTTTAGCCTTCTTCAAAGCCCTCTGATAACTCAGATTTATTAACCCTTTTCAAATTTTGTATCAACTCTGTCATTTACAGGGTGTTATGCATTCGTTAACTCATGTTTTGCTGCTCAAACACATTTCTTTTTTTTTAATTTCCCAACATTTCCCGCGGCTTGCTTGCCTCGGGCAAACTGAAAGGAAAACAAAACTCATTTGGCTTTGGCCTTGGGCCTGTCGCTTTTCGCCTCTCGCGGCAAACAACTGCAACTATTATCGGGCAATGGGCGGTGGGCGTGGCCCCGGGACAAGGAGCATGATTTATACAGTGAACAAAAAAACACGGCACTCCCCGCAAAAAAAATAAAGAGAAGAGGGCAAGTTAACGTAGAGGAAATGACGCCCAAGGATTTCCCCATCAGAATAATTGCCGTAATGACTGGAAGCCCAAAAAAGGAGAGAAAAAATGGCATTTATGGAACTTTAATTTGATAATGCAACGAAGGGAGGGTTTTGGATTTGGATTTGGGTTAAGCTTCGACTTTTGCTTTCTTTTTTTTCGGAGTTTCAGCTAAAGGTTCGAATAACTTTCTGCTCGAAGAAGCTTACATAAAACGCACAAAAGCCTTGTCATCGCCAAGATAAATGTATAAACTTCAGCCACGAACAGTGTCTGTGTGTGTGTGAGGAGATAGTAGCTCCATGAAAAGAAAGAAAATTGTGTAAAACCGGAAAATGCGTGACGCAGAGCCACTGTGGAAAACTGTTGCCATCACAATGGGGACACTGATTCCTATTTCAAGTCAGACCTCAACTCCCACTCCAACTTTAACTTCGATTTCGATTCTGGAACCAAGCACGTGACTTGGTTACCTGTGCTCCTACCTGTACTACCTGTTTTCCTGGAAAAAATCTCTGTTCAGTCCCCATCGTAATTGCCTTTCAATTGCTGCCGGGCGCCAATGGAAAATTCGTTTATGGAAAGACCCGTCGCACCATTGCTGTGTTCACTAAATAGTTTTTCCCCCAAAATGTGTGTTTAGATAAACAAAAAGTTTATATATCTCACAGAAAGAGCAAACATATACAGGGAAGAAGCTACATATATAGAAAACTGTTTAAGGGGGTATATAATTTATGTCAGACATTTAGTTACTATGCCATAACTTTTTAAAGCATTTTTAAGTGTCTTTTGAATAGTAATTAACTGTAACAAGCCTTCTAATTCAACACTATATAGTTCCCATTGACTTTAAAATCGTGGGAAAATGAATTTAGGATTCCATGTGCTCTAATTCGAGAAATAATTAATTAAAAAAGCAAACCACCTGATGCCGGGAATTAATTATAAGACTTAAACGCTCTCGCTAGGGCCTCGGGCTTTGGGCTAACATGTGTGTTTGTATTTCTGCGAGTGTCGGTTGCATGCTCCTCCTGGCCTAAGGGAAAAACTTATTACATCCGCTGGCGGAACACACACACACCCACACACCCACAGAAAACCCACAAAACACACTCAAACAGACACACCACCTCACACACTCACTTCCATTTCCATTCATGCGATGTGCGTGTTAAAACCAGACAAATATTTCTTTATTTCCCCGCAATTCACAGAAAGCTGCTGCTGCCTCGAGAAGTGCAACTGTGTGAGGAGCAAGGGTGGCAGATCCCCCAAGGTGGAGGAACAGCAGCAGGAGCAGGAGCAGGAGCAGGAGCAGAAGCAGGCGCAGGAGGAGGCCACCAAAGATGATGGGAGTATGAAGCCTATAGACATTGAGTAAATATCGCGTATACGCACCTTGGGCCGCTTGGCATACTGTCCCGTTCGTACATCGCGAATGGTGGCTATATCAAGGATGTCCAACTCATTGTTCTGGTCGATCCAGTAGAGGAAGAAGCCCTTGGCATCCACGCGCATCGTAACCGGCGTTCCAGTGCCCGAGTCCTGCAATCAAGAAAGAATAGATGACAACAGTGAGGAAATGTGAGAACCAAGGCATGGAAACAGGAATTAATTGATTGCACATTTTATTATTGGTGGTAATCAAAGAGCATTCTCCACACCGATTCGGGTCCAATAAATTGAAACACTTCGACTTGTATTTCCCGGGTTTATTGAACTCCCAAAAAGGCGAATTTTACTCAGCCACAAAGTGCTGCATTCTGTCCCTGTTATTTCTGCTTATTATTTAAGTCAAATTAAATACGCCTCCGCCGGCGGCCATAAATGTTTAATATTTCCCGGCATTCCCATTCATAAAAGAAAAGGCAAAGATTCTGTGCCAGCCAGATGTGCTCTCCCCCTGCTCCCCTTCGTATCCCAGGGAAATTGAAATATTTTTTATTTCTTAAATATGTATGCAAATAAGTAAGCAGCAAAATCTGGCAGCCAGCGAACAAGATGTCTCGGCCAAATTCGCCTCTTATTTTTTCTGGGAAGCAAGTCGACTCGACTCTTCCGTTAAATGGCGCGGCCCAAATGAATGTTTATCCAAACTCATTTGGAAGAAGGGGTTTTAGGAGAAAGAGTACGAGGAGGAGGGTCTCCTCCATCTGGACAGAAAATGGGAACGTAAAAGCCAACGCAATGGCAAGGCAATGTGCAGTGTGTGAGGGTGTGCAACAAAGTGTGGGAAAGTGTAGGAAAGTGCGCGGAATGGTCACGCCAGTTTTCCTCTAAGGAATGGCAACAATGTTCGCCTGAATGTTCTCTCCAGTCTGGCATAGAGTACTCTCGAGACATCTAAAATATGCATTGACTTTCTTATTATATTTGTTCTTTTATATGGCAAGGAAGTGCAACTATCTAAAGGTCTAACAAAGTCAACTGAATAAATGGCGGATTTAAAGTAGAATCTGTTGGTGACACTTTTGGAGGTTGGAGGTACTTCTTAAACCTATCCCATATGTTTCTAGTTGCCAGCAAAATCTTAATCGATAAATGAATAAAACCAAAATAAACCTTAAGTCGCTTTAAAGAAACCTAACTTATCCATTAAGAAGACAAACAAGTTCTTGATAGTTATTAAATCTCATAGCCCAAAACATTATATCCACATGGATTATAATTGATTCTTAAGTTAACTAGAAGTACCAGACCGATGGTGCTTATTAACAAACATTTATTTTAATAGCACCCCTGTTATTATACAAATTATATATCCCTCTTGAATCTGCAATCAGTGTTTGCTTACTAAATCCAACCCTTTGGCCAGCGTTTCCTCACTTTAATGAAATGAAATTCTAACAAATATATTGCTTACTCATCGAGATGGTAATTTGAACTCGGCTGTGGGGCTTTTGAACCCCCAGAACACCTATATATATTTCGCGCTCATCGAATTTCCCGACCCCGACCTCGACTCTGACTCTGACTCTGGCGCGAAGGAGTCCCACTCCAATTAGTGGGTGGAATTTGGAATTCCTTGACCCCGGCACTGGGCCCATTAAGATTATGGAGAATGGCCGTTGTTATGGCCAGAAATTGATGAGCACTGAAAGACTCGTTACGAGCATATTTAATTCGCGCAGCCACAAGTTCATTATCCCTTCGGGTCGCCTCGGCTTTTGGGTAGTCAGGGATTGGGATTAAGGATGGATTGGGGAACTGCGGACTGGGATTGGGTTTAATGAACCCGCTAGGTGCCAAAGTGGCCTGCCTGGCATACACTTTCACAGCGAACCCCTTTCGCCCATCGAATGCTTTTCGCTTAATAATTGAAATTGAAAACATCCCACTCTCGGTGCCCCGCATCCCTCTGGATATTCAATTAGGCGCATATTTTCTGGGGATTTTCAGCTGAGAGAATCCCGAGAAGAAGCTAGCTCCAACGCTAATTGGAACGAAACCCGCAGCAATCCCCACTCGACTCGTCTTGTCCTGGGTTTTGCCTGCTCTCCTGTTTGTCTAATTACTGGCAACTAATTGAGTTGAGCTGGCGGTAAGTTCGTTAATTCAATTTCAATATGCAAAATTCAGTGGAAATCCAATAAGTTTGGAAATTGTGTGCAAATTTCAGTTTTCGCTTCGTGACTGCTTCAAACTGACTGCCACTTGACACGCTCCTTAAATATTTACAGCGACCGCTTGCATGCGTTTCTGTATCCCTGTCTGGTAGGTGTATCTGTATCTGTTAGATAGTCCCTCTCCCAGTATCCCTATCCGTATATGTGTCTGTAGCTTAGGATAAGAGCGATTACATGCATAATTCAATTGGTGTAACAGTTGGATCAGCCTCCCCGCATGTCGGTCTGCCGCCATTGAAATCGCTTAAGGGAGACCGCACGGTGAGCAGCAGGAAAAGGGATAACTGCCAGCCAGCTACAGATACATTTACAGAGCAGATGTGCCGCAAATAAAGACACTGAGAGAAAAGCTTTAGCTTATATATCAATTCAAATCGAATATAATAAAGAATCAGTCTGAAAACGAAGCTAAATCATGCCTTTTAATAACAATGAACTTGTAAAATTCACCAAACGCGTGCTGGAAGCTATAATTAAACAATTGCTGATAATAATCTTAAAATCGCAAGTCGCAAAATATATCGCGGCTTAATCAGTTTTATATTTACTGACCTCAGTATAAGGTTGAACGCACTCAAAACCTTTGAAATTACGTTCTGAGGGAACTGCGGAGATTGTATACGATCTTAAATAAAATAACATCTAATTGACTGAAAGTATGTTACTTTAAATCCTTAATACAATTACTGTTAAATATCTCTACTCTGAAAACGCTTCAGTGTGAATTCCCATTTAGAGACACACATATAACATATCCACAGTCATGGTGAACATCTGTTGGTGACGATTGTCACACGCCATTCACCATTCGCCATTCGCCTGTCAATCATGCTTAGAGACCGAGTTCTGAAAGGGCTGGCAGGCATTCAGGAGGTGGAGGACGAGGAGGAGTACATGTAGCTACTGGGACCAGGCGAAAGTGCTCCAGTGCATTCGGGAAGGAGACGAAACTCCGCCATGGATATGCAAATGGTGCCAGGGACCACTCAGCAGCAGCAGCGAGCAGCTCGTTTCCTTCTCCCCCTAGAGATTGGCATTGGGCGTGTGTGCGTAGCCTTAAACCAAACTATCGAAATGAGTTTAAACAGCTGTTGGCTGAAACTACATGCAAATTATATCATACAATTTGTAGCTGCTACGTTGCTGTGTGCTCCAAGAGTTAGTAAGAGTCTCTCCACCTTCCGCCTTACCTGGCACAACTTTTCCCAGCTCTCTAGAACTTGGTCCATGCCTCTGCCTCTGCCTCAAGGAAGGAGCCGCTTGAGATGAACTAAAGTCAACTTCTCGTCAGGCTCTGTCGCCAGAATTCGCCATGGGAGGCCACCTCAAAGCTCAGGGATGAAGATTGACGGGGGAGAACGTGGAACCAGCTGGAGACTTTTGGCCATATGTCAGCATCAGTTTCTTGGTTTACTCTTCACTCACTTTACCCTGTTGCACTTACTCAAAAGTCATTATCATTTTTATGGCCTAAACTAATTATTTACGTTTCACTCTTAATAGATTTCCATAAAATTTGCGATTTGTTTAAACTAATTAAGCTTGAATGACTTCTTAAACTGTTAACATACTTTCCACTTATCTGTCCACTTAGCAATAGCTATCTACTCCTTAGATTCTGACAATCGAAATCACAATCCATAAGTGTGCTGACTTGGACTTTGATTGGTTTTAGGCAACAATAAAAATAATTATTAAATCACAAACAAGTAATACAAATAATACGACTAAAATATTAGAAAGTATTTAAATGAATCAGAATGGGAAGAGTCGTAAGTGGTTTCAGGGATAAACCTAAGGATAAATTTAAGATAAATCTAGCAAAAAAATCAAAGAAGTATCTCCAACAATCTAGCTAAATGTTAAAACTTACTGATAAAACATTTCAAAGAGTAGAATTTCTAAGATTTTCTAAAATTGATTTCTTCGAAACAAAACTATTAGATATTAGAATAATCCACTTAAAATCCAACTAATACCCTCAACCTTCAGCCACCACCTGCCTCTGGTATGCCTGCCTCTGCTGCACTTACTCAGCACTTACACTGACTCTATCGTATATCAACTATCCCTAGCTGATCGGCAATCGTAAATAGTAGTTCGATTTCAGGCAATCAGCCGTCCACTTATCGGGCAATAAAACAAGCTATTCGATTCGCAGTTAACGAGCTCCGTGATTAGATACGGAAACCCGCGGTGTTTACTTTAATGCACTACAAGAGTATTACGCAAAGATCTCCTTCGACTCCTCCGTCCGTGTCTCAGTTCAACTGATAATAGGCGCCAATCACCTGGTAAATCCAGCCCACGTAGGCCGGAACCGAGGTGTAGACAGTGGGCCGGCTGGCAAAGCCACAGGGCATGTAGCTCCAGGAGCCCAGACCCACCAACTCCGCTGGTCCAGTGATGGGCCAATGGATGAGCGGGGTGCCTCCATCTCCGTAGCAGGTCTTCACCTGCGAGCAGACTTGCTGCTTTGTGAGAGGAGCGTCCGTCGGCAGCAGCTCTTTGCAGGCAGTGCTATTCAGAAGCGGAGCAAAGGCATACTTCAGCTCCTTGGAGTACTCATCGGCATCCGCGTCCGTGAGACCCCATCCGTAGACGGCGGCCGTTTTCCCGCTGTAGTCATCCTCGATGTCGGGCAGGGCGATGGCCTGGACACGGGCAGAGTACTCGAAGCTCTCGGAAACGTGCAGCAAGGCGATGTTGTCACTGCCGGCGGCACCGTTAAAACCACGATGCGTGGAGGCAAAGTCCACATATCGCACCTGGGCGGCAGTCACATTGCTTCTGTTCACAATGCCCGCGTAGATGGGGGTTCCCAGGACGTCACCATCGTTGAACTTGCGTAGCTCATCGACACAATGGGCCGCCGTCAGGATCCATCGCTTGGCAATGATGCAGCCACCGCACAGGTGAGTGTAGGTGGCCTTGGTCAGCGACAAGGAGACCAGGTAGGGCACATTGTCCACTCCCTGGACATCATAGCCATCGATGATCAGCGGCTGAATCTCCACGGGTACTTGTTCCAGACTCTTGAGCGTTAGGTGCTGGATGTGCGGCAGCTGGGCGGGATTAGCTCCGGCCAAAGCCAACAGCATGGACAGCAGAATCAGTGGCGATAGCATTATTGCTCCGATATACACGTTACTGATACGACTGAGAAATACTAAAGGTCTAAACTCGGGACCAACAAGCAATGAGACTTTTATAGAAAAAAGAGCTAAAAGCTTTCGTGTTATCAGGAGAAGAGAGAATGTCCCTTGTGGTCAAGAAATAAGTCAAAGAACTAGTTCGGTTATTTCTTTAAATTGGTAACAAACGAACTCAGTTAATACTGGTTTTAATATGACTCATTTGCAGTTCTTAAGTAGTTACTTCTGTCCCTTATTCTCAGATATCCAATCCCTAGCGTAGAATGGATATCGATGCATCTAAATATGATCGATATTTGATGCCTAAATTTATTTTAGTTAATTTGTATATGAATATAATATAATCGCACATCTCATTAGGGTTGTACAACTAGGAAATCCCAGTTCATTGACTTTTACACCTGGCAACCCAACTATTTCCTTAAGTTTAATGACATATTAAATCATTCTCAAGGGTGTTACTAAAAACTCTGCTCAGCAATACGTCATAGTTCTTATGAAATCTATTTTACCTAGTACATAAACTTTAACTTAGAGATTTCTTAGGGATCAAAAAAAATGAATAAATAAATAACATAAAACCCTAGTGAAGTCCATTCAATATTTATTTAAACAATATCCTGCCAGGACAAGTACTAACCTCGTTGCCTTCACAAATCCAGCAATAAAGTGACCCACATAATGGCCTTTAAATTGCAGGAAAAGCCTGGTTGAATTCAAAATTAAATGTTAACTTGAACTAATGCGTGCCCCTGGCAGAGTAGATCCCATTCCGCGTCGTGTGTTGTGCCATATAAAACATGCAATTACCCAGCGAAGAGGAGGAGGAGGAGGATGAGGAGGAGCAGGATGCTCACTGCACATCCATGCACATAATGGCCAAGCTCCATTCCCTCCGAATGGCATTAGGAGCACCACATGCTCCCTTGTTCGTTTGCTGTTCCTCTGCTTGGAAAATGTTTACGCAAACGTGCGGTCACTTCAGGGAGGGATGTAGCAGTCATCCCTCTACTCCCACTCCACTCCCTTGTGCGCCGTGAAATCCACTTTTAATTGGCTTAGTCCGTGAGGGGTCAGTATTTTTAGCATCCTTTGAGACCCTACAAGGGGCGACCTTGCCGTGTCAACACCTCAGTTAACAAATTACGCACGCGGAAAATGGGAGGCGGAAAGCAACGGGCGTAGAGCGAAAAGCCGAGGGCTTTTCCCACTCAAGGGCAAGTCGAAGCTGAAAAAAACCTCCTATTCTTATCGCTGCCCCGATCCGTATCGATTCAAACGAAATTAACTAATCGCCATAAATCTATCTGCTAATCTCGTCTGAAAGTGAGTATAAAAATCAACTCCGATCGAGGAAGTAGTAGCATTATTTTAAATTCTGCACAATGAAGCTGATCACCGTAACTCTGATCGTCGCCCTTGTGGCCGTCGCCCAGGGCTCCAAGCTCACCGACAAGCTGTCCAAGATCGTGCCCAGCTTTGCCACCGGCTTCGTGATCAACGGCACCGAGGCTGATCCCCACTCTGCTCCCTACATTGTCTCGCTGGCCACCAATCCTGCCAAGCACTCGCACATCTGCGGTGGCACCATCATTGACAAGAACTGGATTTTGACTGCCGCCCACTGCATCAGCAATCCGGTGAACATGAGCGCCATAGCTGGTCTGCACGTCCGCGCCGAGGTCGACGAGCTCACCCAGCAGCGCATCATCGATTTCGGCCGTGTCCACGAGAAGTACACTGGTGGCGTCGGACCCTACGATATCGCTATTCTCCACGTCAGCGAGTCCTTCATCTTCAACGAGTGGGTGTCGCCCGCCACTCTGCCCAGCCGCGAGGAGGTCCATGAGGGAGAGACCCATCTGTACGGATGGGGACAGCCCAAGTCGTACATTCTGACCGCCTCCAAGACCCTGCAGACCGTGACCACCGATATTGTCAACTATGATGAGTGCAAGGATGCCCTGCCCGAGGACGCTCCCCTGGAGCCCTCCAACATCTGCTCCGCCTCCCAGCAGCAGAGCAAGAGCGCCTGCAACGGTGACTCTGGCGGCCCCCTGGTCGTTGAGTACGATGATGCTCCCTCTGAGGTGATTGGCGTCGTGTCCTGGGGCTACATTCCCTGCGGCCTGGCCCAGATGCCCTCTGTCTACACCCGTGTCTCCGCCTATATCGACTGGATCTCTGAGATCAAGTCCGCCTACTACAAGCTCTTCTAAGGGAAGACTCACGTGGGTTATGTGATATAGAAAAGGATCGGGATCACTTTGGATCTGAAAATATGATCGATTGTTGAATAAATGCATCCGACTAAAGTTCTGGGTTTATTTTTTGGATAATGAGTTCGAGTGTTTATAGAGGGAGCGAACTGAAGAAATGCCTTTAGCCCTATATATGTATTATTCATTTACATACAGGCCACAGCACTCGCTCCTTGTGCTAAATTATAAAGTTATTCAGCATGAATAATACCCATTAAATAAATATTATTCTATAGTATTTTGAATCCCTCAACTTGCTATCAGCTTAACTTCTTTGAAAGTAAATTTTAGGAAAGTAAATAAGAATAAAAAGAATTTATGACCTTAAGTAACCAATTTCAGAAATTTTTCCCTCTAGAAAAATACAGTCATTGATACTTGGACAACATGACAAAGCATTATGCTGACCAAAGATTATAACTGATATGGAATAGATTAGAAACTATTCTCTAAATGTTTAAAAACTTTACATACAGTGTCTAAAATAATTGTGTAATTTTTATTATTATCACAATAAAGTTATAACATGTTTCCCAAAGATAACTCAAACCTATAATCCCCTGACTAGACATAATCAATACCTTATATGTACATTAACACCTTCCCCGATCCCTGGTGAAATAATTGCAAACAACGAAAGACCAGTCCAATCTTTGTTTGTCATTCCATCAAGGTTGACTTTACAATTTATGATGTCTGATTATCCCCGAATCGATTGCTAATCGACGCTGGATTAAGGCCCGTCCAGTCCACAGTTTGTCTCATGATTTACAACCTTGCTATAGTAAGCTCTGGAAAAGCCCAGAGTTTTGGAGGCGTGTGCCATTGATACAGATACAGGAGCTGTGAGTCTGGAAATTCATGCACTCAACCAATCAAAGCGATCGAGTGAAGTCTCGTTATCGGCGAGATAAGAAAACCAACTAAAGCTCTCGGAAAAAAGCTACACTCTTATACTGTCCAAATGTTGCTACCAAAATGGTTTGGTCATAATGTTTATAAACAGATATGACACTATCTTTCACTTATATTTAATGATATTTTCAAAGTTACAGAGTATTTTGAGAAGTAAAACTAATTTTGAAATTATTTTTCAATATACTGGTGAACGGAATTAAATTCCCAAGACTATATTCCTTGTCCTTATTGTGTTTACTAAAGATCTTCTTTAAAAGTATGAAACATTCTATAGGCAAATAGTCGTATCTTAATTTCTGTGGCCTAAAACAAACCCACTTGAGTAATCTTAATAGGATATTTTCCTTATTCATTAAGTTCAAGACTTTAAATTGATTTTCTAGAAACAATTTCTAATTAAAATCATTTTTATTAATGGTTAGAATTGACAAGTATTTTATTAAATTCAACAATTTCACAAGCATTTAAAGCTGTTAATTTTACGTAAATAGCACAAAGAAATGACCAATCGGACAAAAAAAAACCTTGATAAGATTTATGTTAGGACTTTGATGATTTTATCTGTTTTACCCCTGGGTAAAGCTCCGTGAATTCACTTTTTGGGATATAAATCTTAATTATATATCTACCGCCATCTAGTTCATTCACACCTTAGCTATCTAATCTAATTGCTACTAGTTTTCAAATAGCAAATTATCTATCTATTAGAGAATTTACTATTGTTTTATGGCCACCATTGACGTCCAATCGACCATATAAATCGCAACGACTAAGGGTAGTAGAGTAACTAGAGATAAGCCTGTAAGACTCTTAAAAAAACTAGGCCAGATGCCTGACTAGGATCCAGGCCAAGAGCTAGACAGATGGGCTCCAGGAGTAGCCTGGCCCAAGTGGATGCCTTAAGTGGATGCAGGCGCTGGACGATAATAGAATTAATCAGTCAAAGGCGCCACTCCAGGACAAAGCCAAATATATGCCGGGTCAGGATCGTAAATCTCTTGACCAACGACCTGATAGCGATAACACCGATCTTGGACTGCCAGTGTTCGGGCCAAGATTGGCCGATAGCCGATGGACGATGGACGATTGCCGATTGGCGATGTATATAAGACCCAACGGTTTCTAGAAGTGAAACAAACTTAACAGTGATCGCAAACATGAGGCAATTCGTGGTTCTACTGGCACTGGCTCTGGCCAGTGTGGCTTCTGGCAACCTGATTGGCAAACCGGGATTCCCCGAAGGACGCATCATCAATGGCTACGAGGCCCAGCCGGGTGAGGCGCCGTACATCGTGTCCCTGGAGACCTCGTCGCACTTCTGCGCAGGAAGCCTGATACGCAGCGATATCATTTTGACTGCCGCCCATTGTCTGACTTATAAGGAGGCCACAGCCGTCGTCGGACTCTTTAGCCGCTCCAGCAAGGAGAACACCCAGAGTAGGGTGTACAAACAGTCACAGACCATTGTTCACGAGAAGTACGGAGGCGGCGTCGGTCCCTACGACATCGGTCTGATCAAGCTGGACAAGCCTTTCGATCTCAATGTGGTGGCCCGTGACGGCAGCAACCCAGTGGGTGTGATTAGCCTTCCTTCCTTGAACTACAACGCCGCTGGTCCCGGCACTCTCTACGGCTGGGGACGGGACAACTCTGGATATTTGCCCAACACTCTAAATAAGCTGGATCTGAACATCATTGAATATGATCAATGCAAGGCAGAGTTGCCTGCCAGTGCACCTGTGGCCGAATCGAATGTGTGCTCCTTCACAGCCAAAACAGCCGACGGAGCCTGCAATGGAGACAGTGGCGGTCCCCTGGTAAGAAATGATGGCAGGGGGGTTGAGCAAGTAGGCATCGTCTCCTGGGGTTACACTCCCTGTGCCACCACCCAGTATCCATCTGTGTACACCAGGATTTCATCTTACTTGGAGTGGATCGAGGAGAACACGAAGTAATGAGCCATATTCCAAATTTCTATATACTCACTAAATAAACGAACATTCTGTACTCAAAAGCTGCTGTTTGATTTTCCGAATAGGTTGGGGTCTTTAAAGATCAAAGAGAACTTTATGGCAAGTCGAAATGTGCTTACAAATCGATGACAACACATATGATATCATGCTACAGTTTAATCAGCAAGGTCATATTTTATATAAAGTATGCACAATCTAGCCAAGGTAGCGAAGATTTCACAGTGGATTTTCAATGATTTAAGGCTAAGACTTCCAGACTTGAATTGATTATTTGTTATTTAGTTCAGTAAACGCGTCATTAAAAATGATTTAACTACAAAGTAGGTTGTAAATGAACATTAATAAAGAGACAAGAGAGAGGAAAGTTTTAAGCAAGTAACCATTAGCCACTTGAGACACTGCCTAATAAATTCAAAGCCTTATCTCCTTCCAGCTTTAATTCAAAACTTTAATAATACTGTAGATCAGATGTAATTATTGAGTTAATCAATATTGAATTTCCATTGAACAGTAACACTTTAAAGCTTCGTTCCCCATAAAATATCTTTTAAATTTAAATAGTACTCACATCGTCCCAGCGAATGAACTTGTCGCCGTCCTGCAGAGCTTGGGGCACCTCCACGCTGGCGGTGGAAATGTATGTTCCTCCGGCGCTCATCATCCTGACTGCGTTGTGGAATCGACTTCAATTTATGAGTGTCCTTTGCTTAACTCTCTGCTGTGTTGGTGTGGTGCGTCGTTGGTACCCTAGTTGCTTATTTTCTGGTTGTATTCTGGCTTCCGTTTAGCCGCTGCTCGGCACTTCCGTGGTCGCCTGTGTAACTGTCGCAGAATTTCCCCGGTTGCATACAAATGACGCCATGGCCCTGGTCCAGGTCCCTGGTTGGTCCTCGTCCTGGACGTGTTCCTGGCCACAATTAGTGTGCCGTTGTTTTGCACTCGCGTCCAAACCTTTCCGACTGCATTCTGCGGCCTGATTAAAATTCCGGCCTCGTGTTGCTCCTTGCGGCTTTCTGAAATTGTATTGAAAGAGACCAAACATTTTTGGGGTTAACAAAGAAATATTGTTTCTGTGGTTAGCTGGAGAGATTCGAATTGGGACGATCAACTATAAGATTATACGAAATATATTGCTTTATCCTAAGCTTTAATATAAACCAATGGTTAGTTTTAAAATAACAAATTGTAAAGGAGCTCTTAGTATTATAATTTATATATATCTGTTAACATTTTCTCCAAACAATTTAAAGCGAGTCCATGAAGTGGACACGAATGCGATGCGCAACTTGATTAGTGATTCCCCAATAGAGTCTGTTGCCTTTTGTTTCCTACGAAAAGGTCAGGCACTGGAAATGCTCTCCGGGTCTCTGGGTTCAGGTTCGGGTCAGAGATCCCGTGACAGGCTTCCATTCAGCCAGCAAAGTCCCCATTCATCGGGAGCAACTCATTCAGCTCATTCAGTGCTGTCTGGATGACTGTCCGGCATTGTTTGCCTATTTTTGGGCTACTGCTGTCGCCGCTGTGGCCATTGTGCCTCAGAGTAGTTTTTGTTCGGTTTCTGGGCCCTTTGGGGGCTTTGTGTTCCGACTGCGCTTCATTAATGCAGGGAAACCATTTTTTGGTTCGCTAATTTGGCGCACAAACATTTTCGGTTTTCAATTAGCTGAAAGCAGGCAGCTCTTGACCCTGGCATCATCGAGTGCTTTAAATAGACTTCCGGCATAGAGTAGAGACAACCTCAAATAAGTGGCAATTTTGAGAAGTGAGATACATAAATATTACCCAAATAAAAACTTGGCATTTTCATCATCGAAAGAGCCACTTGACAGAGTGCTGTTTTAGTAAGTTTCCAGTGCGGTTTTGTGCACTCGAATGAACTGAAGAGAGTTGCCTTCTTATGATCCTAATTCCAGCATAATCCACTTAAAGCAACTGGGATGACAGCTTATCCAGAGAGAGAGAGTGAAAGTGGAAGCGGCACACGTGACTGCGGGCCTAATACTTTCGTAATTTCTTCTGGCCTTGTCATAACCAATTTCAGGAACACCGAAACTAAAACTGAAACAGAATCTGAATCAGAAGCAGTAACTGAAATAGAAAAGGAAGCGAGCAACCAATGAAAACGTTAGCAAAACTTTTGGCCATAGTCTGCAGGCAGCCACAGGCCAGCAAGACCACACAAAAGTACACTGGAGAAAATAATAACTGGGACAATGATAATATTCAATACTTCTTGGGAGAAAAACAACATATTTTCCGAGAGTAACTGTAAAGAACAGCGCACATTTAAAGGATAAAAGGAAAATAGTGCGAATAAAAACACTGATTTGGTATGATAAAAGATATTTGGAGCAAATAAAAACTCCAACCTACAAAAATCCAAATATATTTTATCATAAAAAATAAAACAACAGGAATTTATAACGTATAGATTTTCCCAGTGTTTTCCCTTGTACTCGCACATGTGTGTCGAAAGTTTTTCGCGTATAAAGGAAGTCATTTGTTTGTATTTGTTGCTCTGGCAAATAGAATTGAATTTGTGAATTTATTTTGCCGTTTTCCCTGCCATTTTCTGTTTGAAATTGAGTTTATACATCATAAATTTGCAGTCAGCCAAAGGGGAAGTAATTAAGCATTTTCATTCTGTTTGTTTTCCGAGTGCTTTTCTACTCTGTGTGTGTGTGTGAGCGGCAAATGGATTTCGACTCGATTCGATTCGATTCGATATCGAAAATTGTTATCGTAAGTGGAATGAAAAATGCGAGAGATGCCTGTCCCGATTTTCCCCATTTCCATGCTCTGCTCCCTTCATAGCTTCTCCTTTGCTTTCCTACTCGTCTCGCTTCAGTTTTACTTTTTCTTTTTGCTTGCAAATCGTTTTAAGTGTTTTATGGCAAACGGGCAAAAAATTTATTGCAGGCAATTTGCAGATGTACCCACGAGTGGGTGGACAAGGTGGGTGGCTGTGGGTCGGGCATTGGTGATTGGAGAGCGTTTGGGTACCGAGGATACGCAACGGAAATCACAGCGGCAACACACAGATTTCCAGTGACTTTTCCTCCATCTCCTAGCTCCTTTGCTCTTTCTAAAAAACAGAGATAGAGATGAAGACCGAGAGCGAGAGAGGTCATGAATCATGCATGCGACACAAACAGAACAAAACGCTTTGCTACAGCTCCCAGTTCCTGCTCGTGCTCCTGGTCCTGGTCCTGATCCTGCCCCTACTCCTGCTGCTACTCCCTCTCCTCGGCTTCAGTTTTCCACAGCTCCATCTGGTGGGAAAGCGGCATAAATCAAAGCCCAAGTCAAAATATGTTTTCCTTTGCCAGTTCACATCCAAAGGCTAAATGTTGATATATACGAACGCATCGCGAAGCACTTGTTATTGGCTTGTTTATGGCGGACTTTCAGTTGATCTGCTCTAAATTTACGAGAACTAAGTACAAGTTTATAGAAATAAAGAGTTAAATATTAAAAGAATAAGAAATAAATATGATAAAAAGGGAAATTGAACTAAGAATTCAATGCGTAGTTAATTTTTTAGTTACTTTAAGTTGGAATTTTACATTTCTACATTATTAATTTAGCAGAAATTGTCAATTTCTAAATAAAATAATTTTCTCAAATACAAACAATTCAAGTAAAATGAAATGAAATGGTTGCGGAGCGTTGTTGTATCTTAGTTTTAAACGTCCTGTTTTATGTGTTTAAATGGTCCGTAACTTTTTTGAAATTAATTTAAAAAGTACAAAGTAAATCGGTGGTCTTCGTCCTTTGTGCCTCCTGGGAGTAGGTCTGGCTTTTAAGTACCTGCACCTAAGTGTCCACTTAGTTCAGGGACAACTTTTCCAAATGAATTGGAAGGCCGCCTCCTTCTGCTCACGCTCCCGCTCCCGTCCATCGCTAGCCTCCTTCCGTTTCCGGGAAAAGTGCGGAAGTTGCTTGTCAAACGGCAATCTTCTCCAGCACACTCTCGCACACACACACAGACACACACACCAACAAGATAATCAAATCAAGGCGCCAGCTATTTGGTTAATGTGCATGACAGCATCAGCAACAAAAGGGGGCCAAGAAAAACGAGGAAAAATGCGGGAAAAAAGCAGTGAAAATGTTTAAAAGTGAAGCACAGGTGAGAGCCGAAAGATAAGAAGAGTGCTGAGGCAAAGGAGGCCGTCGCCAATCTGGCCGACAGGTTGAAGGAAAATCCCCGGTGTTGCCTGCTTTTAGGAGCGACAGTTTTCCTCACTCTCTTTCTGATTTTTCCTGCGCGTAAATTGCAGCGACAGCCTGTGGCGTTGTGTGTATGTGTATGTGAGCCGACTATAATTTCATTTGTGGTACATAAAACTTTGTCAGGCTTCATCTCTTTCTCTCCCTCTCTCTCTCTCTCTCTTTGGACCAAGACGAACCGAAGGCCGGTCGAGGAGGGAATCACATTAAACTAATTGCTTTAGCTTGTCATTGCCGTTGTTTCCATTGTTTTTGCCAATGTTGCTGCGATGCTGCTGCTCCTGCTGTCGAGTGTTTGATTGTTAGTGCTTTTAGGCAGCGCAAATTATATTTGCTTGTATGCCAAAATGGTTTTCCCTTCGCATTTGGCAGCTATTAAAAATTTAAAAGCCACCACGCAGCATATTCACTTTATGTCCTTAGGAATGCCAAAGAAATAAAAACCAACAGCATGAGCATGTACTTATCGGAATTATTTTCAAGTAACTTAAAAATTTCGTTTTTAGTTTTATGAAAATCGGAATACTATATAATTGCTAAATGTAGAGGATAAGTAATAATCTTTCAACAGTAAGTAGCTGTGACCAGTTTTTAACTATGATCAGTAATTACCTATGAGCAGCAAGTAACTCTGAACAGTGAGTAACTCTGAACAGTAAGTATCTATGACAAGTAAGTATGTATGATCAGTTACTAACTTTGAACACTAATAAACAATGACTTGCAACTTTGGAGCACAACACATTTCTGAGCCTGGGCCGGCAGAAGACACTTCGTTCCGGGGATGCTAGAACAAGTTGGGAATCATATGATATGAAGATAAGCTATGAACAGTAAGTATCTATAACCAGTAATTAACTCTGAACAGTAAGTATTTATGACCATTAATTACCTATGATCAGCAAGTATCAATGAACGATAAGTAACTCTGATCAGTAAGTATCTATGAGCAGCAAGTAACTCTGAACAGTAAGTATCTATGACCAGTAAGTATCTATGACCAGTAAGTATCTATGACCAGTAAGTATCTATGACCAGTAAGTATGTAAGATCAGTTACTAACTTTGAACACTAATAAACAATGACTTGCAACTTTGGAGCACAACACATTTCTGAGCCTGGGCCGGCAGAAGACACTTCGTTCCGGGGATGCTAGAACAAGTTGGAAATCATATGATATGAAGATAAGCTATGAACAGTAAGTATCTATAACCAGTAATTAACTCTGAACAGTAAGTATTTATGACCAGTAATAAACTATGATCAGCAAGTATCAATGAACGTTAAGTAACTCTGATCAGTAAGCATCTATGAGCAGCAAGTAACTCTGAACAGTAAGTATCTATGACCAGTAAGTATCTATGACCAGTAAGTATGTATGATCAGTTACCAACTTTGAACACTAATAAACAATGACTTGCAACTTTGGAGCACAACACATTTCTGATACTCGGCCGGCTGAAGTCACTTCGTTCCGGGGATGCTAGAACAAGTTGGAAATCATATGATATGAAGATAAGCTATGAACAGTAAGTATCTATAACCAGTAATTAACTCTGAACAGTAAGTATTTATGACCAGTAAATAACTATGATCAGCAAGTATCAATGAAAGATAAGTAACTCTGATCAGTAAGTATCTATGAACAGCAATTAACTCTGAACAGTAAGTATCTATGACCAGTAAGTAAGTATGATCAGTTACTAACTTTGAACACAAATAAACAATGACTTGCAACTTTGGAGCACAACACATTTCTGAGACTTGGCCGGCAGAAGAC